TCGAGGAACGGTTCGAGAGAGGTAACCGGTCGTCGTTCTCCTCCGCGCGGCAGCCTCCGTATAGCTCTTGTCTCCGCGTTTCTGCATCGTCCATTACCCGCGGTGATATTTGTCGATATATTTTACACGTGGGCGAATCGACCGAATGCCAGCCGGCACTACCTTTTACTTCGCCGTGAACGAACGCCGTCTACGTGGGCAGGGCGGAGTGGTATTATAATAAAGTCTCGTGGAATGATAGAAAGGTGCAGGCTGCTAATAATAGCCTCTCGCAGGGTCGTCGGCAGGTCGGCAGGTGTGCTCGGCTTTGCGGCATCTACTGTTCTCCGCGGCGCGGCTCGGTGTCGTCGGCTATCGCGAGTTCCGTGATATACAGCCGCGAAATCGAACGAGCTGAGTATCGCGAAACATTTCAGCTCGCACGAAATGCAAAAAATTATATATATAAATAGAGGCTATTCTAGTCGCCTGATTTTATTTGCACTACTTTGTATCGCGATAATAAAAGCGGCTTTGTATAATAAAATGACATTGCAATCTCGAGATCTTCGGCCGAGAGAAAGCTGCAAAATGACAGAGCGACACGGGAATCGTAACAACCGTCGTCGCGGAATCGGCTCTTTTAAATTCTATCCATAGGCGAGTTATAAAGTGCCTTATTAAAAATAAGAATAAGTCGTTAATGGCCATTCACAGAACCGCTAGTTGGGTGGTAAATGTCCATTGGCCATAAATTCCGTGCCGATTGGCAGTGCGGTATCTCGTGCGCGCGCGCGCGCGTTTCATTGAAACAAAACGACGAGCGGCACAGTTTGACGCATGCTTTCCGGAAAATTTATGACGCGTGTCTAATAGCCGGTGTTCACGTGAATGTCTGAAACCGCGCGTGTATGCCTCGCCAGTATAATTCTAAACGCGGGACGTGTTAGAGAGATTAAATCGCGCCATCGGACATCATCTTTGCCTGAATAAATTAGTGTCGTTTAAACGTCGGCGTAAGAAATGGTACCCTCTGAGAAAAAGATAGGCGAGACAAGAATGAGAGGCCTCGAACAGTGCGGCTCTCGAGAATCCCGCCGCGACGAACTCCGCCGGCCGACTACTCGAATTCGGAGCGCGCGCTGATAATGTCGGATAACGCGCGCGAGAACACGTTCGGAGGACACACGTTCGGGACGGGATTCTTGCAGCGGACCCCGGATGAGGCATACACGCCCCAGAACCGACATATCGGGTTCCGCGATCCCGCTGGCCTCGCTCCAACGTCTTCTCGTCCGACAAAGTTCCTTGAAAATTGTGCAACCGCGGTGCGCACGGCTTCGTTTTCTTTGCGATCTCCGCCGGTACAATGACGTAGATCATGTTCTTTTTCCGTACCGCGCGGGATAAGATCTCGGCGCGCGAATGAAACCGAAACTGGCCGCTCCCACGTGGGCATTAGGTGTCGCCTGGCCGCGGTTGCGACGTAGAAATTTAATTGACGACCGTGTTCGAGGAGAGATGTAAATAGTGTCGGCGATAATGCACGCAGTCAAAATAGCCGAGGCAAAACTTTCTCTAATCGCCGTAACGCGTTTCATTACGGCGCTAAAAGGGGTAACGAGATCGTAAAGAATACATGAAATGAATATGCTGAATGAACAATGATATTTTATCCCATTGACTAAACTGCGGACGGATCTCGGATGTGCTTCGGAGCGTGAGAATGATTTTGCTGCGTATAAGTAGTCGCGGTAAAGTAGTCGAAGTCTAAATAGGCACCTTTTGCATTCAATGAGCATTGAGCGTGAGAATAATGTTTAAGTCGAAAGTGGAAGTCGCCTTTTGCGTATAACCCGCCTTTTATGAAACGCGCGTATCAAGCGGAGATAGATGTCAGCGCGGAGACAAACGGCGAGACATCTCGTCTTGTCAGCGAGGGGTCGAAAGAATGAGAAACGAGGGAGAACTAGGAAGGCGGACTTGTTCGGCCTATTTGCTGCAATTGTTTAACGGGAGCCCGCGAAGCGAGCGTTTTCTACATGTTAGTTACACGCGTAATTGGAGACCCGCTCTTTCCTGTCTTGTCCGCGAACAACAAAGGCGCCCGTTGACAGACGTGCAGGAAAATTGCAGAGTTGCGCCGCGGAGAAGGCGGGCCCGCGATCGCACGAACTTTAAATAGAGCTCCTCCGTCGGTTGAAACCCTTAATTATACGCGATCGGCGGAGCCGGTGGCTTCGCGGACGCATTGTTGAGTCCTGACGTACTATCGGCGACTAACATTGATTAAAATATTTCAGTACGATCTGGAAGAACCGTATATCTCACGTCGGCAGTCGACTTTCTCGTACTTCGAACGAAGCTTTCCTATCGGCTCTTAATTACGAACAATCAAGATGAAGCGAGTAATTCGAAAAATGCATCGATTCAATCTGAGATTCTTTTGATATTTCTTATGATAGACATTTTTTATCATGAATAATATCGCATATTTCACGTCGGCATCGACTTTCTTAGTATTGAAACAGCGTTAGAAATGCGTCGCACGGGCGAGGCCACGCGGGAAATTTCGAGGTTCCGCCGACTGTCGGGTTTAGAATAATCCATATTCTTTTTGTGGGCGTGAGCCAGATGTAAGAGAACACGCAGTCGCGGTGTCGCCTGGTTACCTTAAAACGTGACTGGAAGAATAAGGACCTCGAATTCTTTCGCAATACCTAAATCGTGGTCTTGCCGAGCCAATAAATTCGTTGCCTTCTTCATATTCAACGATCGCGTTTGTTCTTTGACTTTATTCGCGGAAAGAATCCGATTAACTCGTAATAGAAATGCCTATGTTTTTGTTCCGCCCGTGAAATCCGTAATCACGAATGCGGCATAAAACCCAACGTTCCGTCTTGTATTTCTTAAATGAAATGCTCGACCGTTGGCGCACGCATGGAAACGTGAACATTTTCATTTTGACTTAGAAAGCCTTCAACGCGATATGTCATTTAATTTGAATATGTTAACCGGATTCGGTATGTTACGTAATCGCTATTACGTATTCCATCGGCGACAGTTGTGTATATTGTGCTTTAGAATAAAATGAACTAAAGTAAAGCTGCGTGAGATCGCATAAGAGGGTAAATAGAAGCTTAGAACATTAAAGCTGCAACAGCGGCGTCGTGTTGCTCATTTTATGAGAACGTTAATACGACGGACGGTCGTAAAATCCGGATCGTAACGGCGCAAAATTGGTGTCGGGGCATAAAGCTAGTTGCATAAAACGAAACTCGCCGAGTTCAATCAGTTCCTAGAAAAATAACGCGCGGCCTCCGCATTGCCTGGTCGAAGATACCGAGTATTAACTTCGCGCCTTCTGCCGTTTCGCAGGTGATATAGAGGATTGTCTGGTGGCTCCAGTTTCCCAAGGCCAGTTCACGCCGCTGCCAGAAGCCTTGTGCTGGGCGATTCTGGAGCTGACTTCCCAGAGGCAGGCGGCGACCTTGGACACTTTGAGATCAGCCCTGAGGAATGCCTTCCCGGCGATGCAGAGACCCAGCCGGGAGCTCGTTTACGACGCGCTGGCGAAGCTCATGCAGGAGCGTAAGATCTATCACACGTCTCAGGGGTATTTCGTTGTAACGCCTGAGACCAAGAGGCTCAGACGCGACTCCGGTAGCTCCAGGCGGTGTTCCAGGGACGTGAACGGGTCCAGGGGTCAGGGTAGCATGCTGATGAGCAACGACGAAGCGGTGGCACTTGTGCACGGCGAGATGCTCACGCTGCGAGACGGTGATGTCACGCATCAGGCTGTACAGACAAACCTGGCGGACGTTATTTGCGGAGGTAAGAGTCCTGCTGATTACTCTTCGAGCCTGACATCATCTAGGTCTCTCAGTAAACAAAGTCCATTCTTTATTCCTGTATTTACTAAAACGCGACGATTCTCCGAGAAAATAATTTTTCAAAAACTATCTTATCCATTTTTTGTATAATTATTTCAATTAATGCGGAATATATTAAGGATATGCAAGTTTCCATTGCTTATGTACAGATCGCTCTAAAAACGGAAACTTCTTTTATCGCGATATTTATCTTTTGTGTACTAAATAATTTTAGATTTTGTAAATAAATCTGTTTACTTTTTTTAACGAGCAAAGTGCAATTTTTCACGTTGCGTAAAAGCGTGCTGCAGTATTTTGATTAAAAATACTTTCTAAATCATTTGTAAGACTATTACTAAAGAAAAGACGATAGAAACTTTTGTACATATTCCTAATAGAAATGTAAAATAGAAAGATAAATATTGTCAGAAGAGTTAATAATCGTAAGAAGCGTAGATATATACGTGTGCTTCATACGCGGAAGTTGTTGTACAAGAAGCTAATGCGGTGAAAATATCGGCCGTATAATATCGCGCGTGAAAGAAGGTGTCGCGTGACGACGCGATTAACGTGCTTTCGTCTTCATTCAATAGTAGCCGCGAAGTTCTCGGCGTCTTATTAAAGTGTCGCGTATCCCGTTGTCTCCTGCGGTTCGCGAGACTTATCCGTGAGGGAAAGTTTCCCGTAACCACGTTTCCCGTTGAATCGCCGTTTCGCGATATCAATCGCGATCGTTAATTGCGGATTTATAATGCGTCGCCGATCAATTTGACGCGTCGGCAATATTTCAACGACACAACACACGAGAGATTATTCAGGACTCGAGAAGAACATTAATGCGACAGGCTGGAGAAATTGTTGTTACAGAAATTATTGTTAGTAATTTAATTTCAGGAAGAAGGAGATATCATGTATACAAAAAGAATAAACGAATGCTGCGGATTGACGTAAAATGTACAGAACTTTGTTCGTGCGTTTATAACGTCTTGTGTAATTTTCGCGACGGCGAGACGCATGAAAGGCGGGCAAATAAATGCGTGCGGTCAAGAAGTTAAGCTCGCTTTCGCCGTATCTCGTGAGTGGACAGGCACAGGAAGCTCAACTCCTCGTAAACTTGTGAGACGGCAGACTGGTCGGTTCAGGCAAACTCGTTCGGCACGTGTTCGGGAAACGTTCCGATTGTGTCCAGGAGAAGAGCAGTTCACTAGCTGCTCATTCTCCGAGGACTTTTTCTCCTCGCGACTCGACGGACGAGTCGAGAGAGCGTTTATGTTGTTGTCGTCCTTGGTAGCTACGCGAGCCTTACCGCCGGAAGATCGGCAATTCCTCTCGCGACCGCGCACGAAAAATCAGCGTGCGATCTTAATTTCACTTTTTGCCGCGTTCGCGGAAACAACGTTCGCTCTCCGCCACATAGTTTTTTTTTCCGAATCTTTATTGTCGGCGAGTTTTACTTAAGAAATGTTGCACCGCGCGAATTTTAATCCCTGACTATCTGCAGATTGGAAGAAATTTTTGTTCTCTTTGTTATCTCCGATCTATTCTCTCATCGTCGTAAAAAAAAAAAAAAAAACGCTTTTATACCACAACAACGACGCACGCGAAAATTTCTTGCGGCAATTCGCATGTTCTTTTTTTACGTATATCAACTATGTGTGTGTGGAGAATAGAGCCGACAGCGTCAGCACGGCGCACAAGGAACAACAAGAACGAAGAATGAGAAAAAGGGGGGAGGGAGAAAGAGATAGAGCAAGCCGACGATGCCTGGAAAGCGTTTAGCACAACCAATATATTAGCTATTGGTCACGACATTGTCTACCGTTACATACGCTGTCGACATCGCTTGGGGGAGGGAGGAGGCGAGGGACCACGCGTATATAATCTTCCTACTTTTCTCTTACTCGTTTCTCGGTTGATTCTCACGCTGGTAACCCACTCGTCGTCGCTCGGATACGTCGGCGTATCGCCCCTGGCTATGTACCAAGATGAAACTCAGGAATGAGGGTATTCCACTTTCTTTTTTTTTAAGTAACGCAGAGCAGCGAACGCGGCTCGGTCATGATATTAACCCTTTTAACCGGAGCGACGCATCGCTCCGATATTTGCACGTATGCCCGTGTCAGGTGAATTTACTCTTCTCCTGTCTGTCTGTCTAACGCGCCGACCTGAATTCTACTGACATACGAACATACTTCCACGAACACGCGTATCTTATTTCAGACACCCGGAAGACACAGTCCAGTTTCCGAGGAATATAAAAATCACCAACGGGTTGTTAATATTGTTTAAATTAAACATTTATGAATTGTATCGCGTTAAGTATAATATATGGTGCAATAGTGTGTACAATTTATAGAAATAATTTTGATTGTCTCCCCCGCAGGGAATCCGAACGACAAGGTCCTGTTCGCGAGGTGCCGGTCGATGCCCAGCCGTCTCGAGAGGCGACACTCTCTACGGCTTTGGGGCTCGGCCAGGCGTTTGCACAGAAGCGGCAGTTCACGGTCTCTGCCGCGAAGACCCGAAAGAAGCGACACGTCTTCCAGCGCGGAATACGCCAGCACGGACAGCGCACCTCACAGCCCAACTAGTGAGTTTGATCGGGGAAGGGATTGCGTGGTGGCGGGTGACTGTTTGATAGAGGTGTTGGTTTAAAAACGCTTTCAATTGCACCTATGACTGTCTTTTCGAAAGTAGAATTTAGCGACGGAGCTTTACACCTTCCGAACGCCTGCGTGAATATTGTGCCATGTGTAAGATAGGCTCGTCGAACTTTTTCGTTTGCTCTACTCGAACGGCTTTCTTTATCGTTATGAAATTATTTATTGATTCTTGTTATTAAATCTATTAAATTGCTTGGCGACTAACGAACGTTTCGATATACTAAAACAATTATTGACAACTATAAAACGCAAACCTTGCGAAATATTTAACGCAATAAGTCGCGTGATAACGCAAGCTTCGTAGTCACCTAGCATAGCAAGCTCTTCCTCGATCCTTATTACCTTCTAACGAAGCGCAACAAATCGAAATCCCTTCCTCAAGGCTTTTCTGGGATTTTTTCAGAGAAGATAGGCCTGCTGTCTAGGCTCTTTCGGCGGAGCACGCGGAGGAAGGGCGCACCGTTAATGGGCACTTTCAGTGCTCAGTATCCCCCCACCGAGTGGTTTAATCCGCGCGTTGTGCATTTGCATAGCGTTGCCACGCAGACGAGGGCCGCCAGCCCTTCGGTAAGTTGCATACAGGTATTTCCCAACAAGAAGCAGCGAAAGAAAACTTCTTACATAGCGTCTAGCGCCGCGAGGCTAATTAACCGGTTCCACCGACGATTAATGAGAAATCTCGAAGCGACAGCGTTCCAAGTTATTAATAATACCTCACTTGAAAACTTTAGTAATATCGGAGATAATAAATGCTTCATATTAATTCAGTTAGAATTGAATTGGAATGATTGATTCCGAGAGGCTTTGGGTAGACCGCGGAGAGATATCAGATCGATTGAATCTATTTTCAGATGATGGAGGGTCTGGACCAGTCGCAGGCCAGTTTCCAAGTGTGGGACGACTCGAGCTCGGTGCGATCAGCCACTCTACCGAGACGACACCGGCGTCAGGCTAGCGGTGATTCCTCGAGCTTGTTGGCCAACTCGACGCCAAGAAGCTCCCGAAGGCATCGGTCACCATGCTCCACCCTGCCGCGATCCAAGTGTTCCAGCTTGAGCAGATGCACATCCAGAGCGTCCGTGTTACCGCCAGGTACCGCCAATCAGGATGCCTATCAAGCGCGCAATCAGACACAGAACGACAAGAACTCGACCAACTCCTCGCCGAGCAGAAGCGGCGGCAGCTCGGGTTCGGTCAGAACGATGAACGCGAGTCCGGCCAAGACGAGTACATTGAGCAGGCCCAACACCAGACAATCTAATTCTAGAAGGCCGAGTCACGATTTCAGCAACAGCGGTACCAAGTCGGCCAACAACTCTCCCCAACATAAGGTGGATTTGAATTAACACTTTTAAATAACGCGAAAATTCCACTGTATCCTACATCTATATATATTAGAATTCATTCCGTATTTAATTTTTTTCATTTTCAACACATTGTTATTATTATAATTCTATCATGTGTACTAATTTGAGAGGCAATACTCGCGTCGGATTTCTCGTTAAAATTCTAATTGAATCGATATAATGTTATCAATGATTAGAAAGCTATGCATTCAAAAGATTCTGGCCATATAAATTAAGAATAAATTTAAGATATCATGAAGATACAAGAAATCTAACAAAATATATTTTATGTCATGAGATATACACGAAAAATTCTTATCTTTTATGAAAATAAGATTCGTAGCGAGTAACGAGTTTCTTGTTAAGAAATCAGCAGCATTTTATGAAATAGTAATATATAATTTTATTTTCCTCTCAAGTAATAGATTAATTTAAATAAAAAAAAATTTTGCACCATTTCTAAATAAAAAAATTCTACTGTCTCAAGGTACTACAAAAAACTTCATCGGGTCATTCGTCTCACTCCAGCGGCAAATCGGTGTCCAGCACGAAGCTGACTTGTTCACCGTTGAAGACATCCACGCTACCCACGAAATCGTCACCGCTCAAAATCGTTCAGCAAGGTTCGCTGACTCCTCTGCAAGAGGCGCAGAACTCGATAACCCTTCAAGTATCTACCAATCTGAGCCCGTCGTCGCAAGAGCAACGAACGATACAGAATAGCGTGACGCTGGCCTCCAACACGACCAGCACGACGACCATTTCCGGCTCGCCCGGCACGAAGATCTATGTTCACCAGAACAACTCGCCAATGAGGTCCGTGATCACTTTCGAGAACGGCACGGTGAAGACGAAGATTGCCGAGAAGGAAGTTATCGATTGCAAGGAGAAGCAAGAGAGAGAGTTAGTAGCCGAGAAGGCCTACAAGACTCGCGTGGACGATGAGAAGCTCTTCAAGTCGAAGCTAGACGAGGAGAAGCTGAACAAACCGGTCAAAGTCGAGCGTCCATCGTCGCTCTACACACCGAAGGAACCAAAAACGAGTCTTCTACTATCGGAATCCGACAAAGAGAACAAGCCGAAAGTCGAGGAGGAAGTGCCTAACAAGCTAAAGTTAACAAACCGCCTTAATAACAGTCAAGCGCATCTAATCGATGGTTCCACCAACAACGTCGACAAGAACGCCTTGGCGCACGAGGCCGCCGCGTTGTCCACCACGAAGAACACCAACGACGCGATGAACAACTCGCGCAAGCTCAGTTTATCGCTATCGAAGGACGCGTTGAGTTACCGTAACCTGCTGCATCCCGGCTCGAAGAACAATATCGCCTCAAATCCGCCGTCGCCCACCAAGTCGTACGACGGTTTCGGCGGCTCCTTCAACGACGTCTACATCGAGAACCTGGAGACGGTGAAGCAACAGCGAGCACCTCAGGGTTCTGAGCCCAACTTGGACAAAACTGTGAGTCGAGGATCGGATTTGCATTCTTATCCCAGTCTCAGTGACATGCAGGTACAATTCACCAGCCTGGCAGCGCAGAAGATTCTCAAGGGCTGCCCGATCAACAGCGTGGATACTCTAGTGGAGGTGAACATGGCCGCCGCCGATAAGCCTAACAACTGCGACGTTACGGTTCACACGGACTTCGGCCTCGTTTGAATTTTATCCTCGTAAACATTCCGTCGATTATTATCCCATCCGGGCATATTACGTCCATGAAAAACAACGTGCCTCGAGTCAAACAATATTGAAACGCCGCTAACGCCTTGCTTTTCGTACGTCAGAATAGGGAGTTGTTTCCTTTTTTAATAGAAAAGCCACGGCTTGCGTAAGAATGTTAATACACGGAACACGCGTAACAGTTACCAGTGATCTGTCGCTTACTTACATTCCTCCCCTTTTCACATCCGTGTTTCCGAACAATCGCTGTACCTCTTTTTTTTTTTTTAATATTATTACGGCGATTATGTCAAATAGATAAGAAAAAGTAGCATCTAGAAAAATACGATCAAACTTTTAACTTTGCTTGCCTTACGAAGTAGACCTTGTCTTCTAAAAATGTTGTTCCTAAAGATAAGATGTGCATGTGTATCGAATTTATACATATATTGAAACTCAATATAAATTATTGCGTGAACTAAACAACACGAAACAAAACCTATGAAATGTACGTCATTTTATTTTCGCGCTTTGTACTTGAAAATTTTTAATTTAAAACGGAAATATTTTTTCCGATTTATTGTTAAAACAAACAGTTATCACTGCCCCATTTTTTTAATCACAAGATACTGCAAAGATAATGCGAGATCGTCTTTTGATAATTTAAATATACATACAGATGCATTTACTCGTTTCAAGTTCCAAACATATTTAAGGATTCAAAAGACGCGTATGTCACAACGTTGTAACACCAGCGGTTTTGCGTCGCTTTGCTCGAGCTAAAGCGATTTGTCAAAACAACATTTCATGTACAACACTCACGTGACCCGCAAGTGAAAAGAGAGAAACAAAACGTGAAAATTTTATCGAATTAAAACACTGCCATTTTACGTATTTACGACAAAAATAATTTTCAATAAAATCAAGTGGTACAGCAAAGTTTTGTAGCGAGAGATATATAGATAGGGATTCTTATAAAATAATAATTCCTCGAACAATAATATTGTACTAAAGCGAGGAACAATATCTTTTTCATCAGGCGCATTATTATAAGCGCACAAGCAACTAATAATATACATAAATTAAACGTAATACCGTCCTCAGAAAATCCGTAGTAAAGAAAAGACCGAGGATGATCACGAGACTTGTAATTCTCGCTGCATTGCACAGTAGAGATTTGATATCAAATATACATATATTGTAAACATAGTGTAGAAGAAGGGCGTTTGCTTGAAACGCAGCCGGTACCATTCGCAATTAGTGCAATCGTAAATCTATAAGTGCCAAAACGTATCGTAGTACTTAACGACAACCGCCTTAACAAATCCATTCGCACGACCATTTCGCGGCACTCGCCGACGAGGAGGGCGGCAATGACAATTTCGCAAATACAAACAAACCGCGAGAAAAAAAAAGAAAGTAATGCTAGGCATTAATTGTGAAGCCGTAGTCTTAAAAAAATAGTAGACAATTAGGCAAGTACGGCAGAGAAAATAGAAAGAGACGTGTCCGCTTTGTACATTTCATATTCTGTATTGCAGATTAACCGATGGGCGATGATTCGCGATCACCGTTCACATTATCAGGCGAGCAGACGCCGACTTTCCCCTTATGAATCTTTTCTTAAATTATATATATAAATATTTATTATTATGATTTTTTAATTATACATTTGTGCATCAATTAGTGTGCACACAAGTAATTGTTATTATAATTTATGTATTATTACTATTATTATAATTGTGAGTTATAATCATTTATGATAATATTGTTATAATTCGAGAATTATTATCATAATTATTACTTGTAAAAAAATGTATTTTATTATAATTCAAAATATGTATAGAATATATACAAATTTATTAGTATAAATTATATATTAGATACAGAAATATTAATTCAAAGTTGAAATAATTTAAAAAGTGAAGGAGAACATTAATGAAAATTTTCAAAAGAATTGCATCTTTTAAAAGTCGACGTTTGTGAACGGTAAAACATTCTCGAAACATTGCCCCTTATTTCTTATCAAAACTAACTTGTAGAGTATCATTGTATAATCTTACGAATCATTATAACAACGAAAGTATATGAATAATAAAAGAATGACAAAATACAGGCGTACGATTATTTTATCGTTAATTGCATGCATGAAAAACTTACCATTTTGAAGTCCGAAAAATGTTGTCCAATTGTAACCGTCAGTGTAATAATTTCTGCATCCGGCATTCTCGAAGGAAAGTTTCCGAAAATCCAAAAGATTAGTTCATCATTCTGAAAATGAATAAAAAACATATTATAAATTATGAAGAATCAAAGGTTAGAATCTAGAAGAGTATATTGCGATATTATTTTGAACCGGCGAACTTTGTAATAATTATCACAAGAATAAAATTCGAAACACAGCAGTGTACGTTGGAAATGTTCATATAGCGAATTATAACAAAAAGATTAATCGACATAGTTAATTAACAAACCTGGCAATAATCATGCACCGTTGTCGTATTGTCAATGCATTTCTGCGAAATATGACAATATACGCGAAGAAAATGTTTAAATAATACTAAACACAAAAGTAAATCATGGATACTGAAAGTGCGATAATAACGACCGTAGACAATATTTAACGCATTACAAGCAATATTCAATACTTAACAAAAAATATTCGCGATAATTTTTTGCGCGCGAAACTTTCTACAATACCGCGAAAAATACAACTTGAAGTACTACTACGATTACCGCGACATTTACCTTCAGTTCGAGAATTATCGAAGACTGCAGTTGCGATTCTCGAAGCGCCCGGATGATAAAAATGACAGACTTCACAATAATTATCGTAAAACATTCGAAATTAATAAATATTGCGAATAATCAAAATAACGAATTATAGTAAAGATTTAACAGATTACAAGACAACATTATATATAAACCTGAAAACTATGCAAACGCTGCATTTTGATGCACTTTGACTCGATGTACGCGAAGGGAAATTCGAATGATACTACAGGCACACGAAAGCGAATTGCCGATACCGAAATCGCGATAATAATGCAACTACAATAATTAACGCGTTATAACTAACGTTTAATGCTTTATCAGAAAACACTGACGACACTTTTTTTGCCCACAAGACTTTTTTTGATAATAATAATCGCGAAAAACCGAAGGAACTCGAATGCGATTTTGTGATCGCCGCGACACGTACTGTGACTACAGTGGTGACTAGAGTGGTAAACCTACTTTCAATTTGAAACCTATTGAAGAGCGCACGACATCTGTGAGTACATTATGAAACAAAATTCACTAGAATGTTAAGCAATGAGAGCATAGATGCTATAGTGAATTTCTCTCTTTTGTAATTTTGTTGTTGTCTGGTTATTACGTAATGCACATTTGGCGTCCTGATAGATATGTCTTATGTCTTTTTACGCTGTAGTATTGGCATTCTGGAATGACAGTGATGAGTTTTGTGTAACGGCTTTATGTTCTACAAAGTAGCTTCTACTTTGTAGAACTATTAAAAAATATTCTCTTAAAAGAGAAATCCCTTCATTACTGCATTTATCGGACCGGTAAGTATATTTTGATGTATACAGTATTTTTTTAAGTGAGGAAACCCGATAAACTACCATGGTTGCCGCGCGGTTCTTTTCATACATATAAATTTTCAGGCGTCTTAAAGCATCCGAAACGTCAAGATGATGCACAGAAGGGGTGGCAAACGGATCCGAATGGACGATCCAGTGCCACCGGAGTATGAAACTCCGATGACACCGATGACACCGATGACAGATGATCGCGGGGACGCGAACGACTCTTATAACGCATATACGCCATACAATCAAGCGTCTCAGACCCCGCTGCACAATCCGACGTAATTATCTACTTATCACTGCTGTGTAATATAAATGTTTTGTTAGATATTTGATACAATTATATATTTACAGACCAGAGCATTACTCATCTGAGAGCTATAGTTCACCGGGCACATCTCAACAGCAGTATCAGGAACAATCGGGGAATTTTGATAATCAACAATTTGAAGCTCCTATGACACCTGCTACTCCTAACATGAGAATCACAAGAAACACACGTGCCAGGATGCGTGGTAAATTTAGATACAGTAATATTTACCAAAAAAATTATAAAGAATAAAAAATGTAAAAATTTTAAAAAATTATGTTTGAATTTGAAGGAGGTGTAGTGCAGCAACCCAAGTATAAAGAAGTTGATACAGATTATACTCCATCATCCACTAGTAAGGGGAAAGGTGGTGGTGGACGAGGACGTGGCAGAAGGGCGCATAATTCGCATAGTCTGGAAGATGAAGCTAGTCTTTACTATGTTATTAGGAACAATCGTTCCTCACTTACTGTAAGTTGATTAATCATGATTTATGCAAAAATGACTGGAAAAAAGTTAATATATTAAAATTTTTAATACAAATATCGTGTGTTTTAACAGACCATTGTTGATGATTGGATAGAAAAGTATAAGAGTAACAGAGAGAATGCGCTGCTTATGTTGATGCAGTTTTTCATCAATGCCAGTGGTTGCAAAGGTCGCATCACTTCTGAGATGCAGCAAACCATGGAACATGTGGCAATTATTCGCAAGATGACTGAAGAATTTGATGAAGTATGTTTCCTGTTATAATATTTTATGTTATATAATATTATAACATTGTATAATTTTATTCTGTAGGAAAGTGGTGAATATCCACTAATAATGACTGGACAACAATGGAAGAAATTCAAAGGAAATTTCTGTGAATTTGTTCAAATTCTGGTTCGACAGTGTCAATATTCTATTATCTATGATCAATTTTTAATGGATAATGTTATTTCTTTGTTAACTGGGCTCTCAGATTCACAAGTGAGAGCATTTAGGCATACCGCAACACTTGCAGGTAAACAAAAAAATTAGAAAAATACTTAAAACTTATACAAGTAGAAATAAATGGAATATTAAAATAATTTTATTTTTTTATGTGTAGCTATGAAACTCATGACAGCTTTGGTAGATGTTGCTTTGACTGTATCTATAAATTTGGATAATACACAACGGCAATACGAAGCAGAAAGGCAGAAAGCCCGAGAGAAAAGGGCGGCGGATAGATTGGAGTCTTTAATGGCAAAGCGAAAAGAGTTGGAAGAGAATATGGACGAAATAAAGAATATGCTTACATACATGTTCAAATCTGTTTTTGTTCATAGATACAGAGATACATTGCCTGAAATACGTGCAATTTGTATGACAGAAATTGGAGTCTGGATGAAAAAATTCCACCAAAACTTCTTAGATGATTCATATTTGAAATATATCGGTATAAAATTTAATATTTTTGTTATTTTTATATATTAAAACAATAAAAATCTTTAATACAATATTAATTTTTTAGGCTGGACTCTGCATGATAAAGTTGGAGAAGTCAGACTCAAGTGCCTACAGGCATTACAACCGTTATATGCGTCAGAGGAATTGAAAACGAAGCTGGAATTATTCACGAGCAAATTCAAAGATAGAATTGTGGCAATGACGTTGGATAAGGAGTACGACGTTGCGGTGCAAGCTGTGAAGCTGGTTATCTCAATCTTGAAACATCATCGGGATATTCTTACCGATAAAGATTGCGAACACGTGTACGAACTTGTTTATTCATCGCATCGTGCCGTTGCACAGGCAGCTGGTGAATTTCTTAACGAACGTTTATTCCGTCTGGACGACGAAGGCATGGCGGCCATGGCGGGCGTTAAAACCAAACGCGGGAAGAAACGATTGGCGAATACTCCTCTCATACGCGATCTTGTTCTATTCTTTATCGAATCCGAATTGCACGAGCACGGAGCATATCTAGTCGACTCCCTAATCGAAACTAATCAAATGATGAAGGATTGGGAGTGCATGACGGATCTCTTATTGGAGGAGGCTGGTCCTGATGAAGAAGCGTTGGATAATCAGAAAGAAACGTCCCTTATTGAGTTGATGGTGTGTTGCATAAAACAAGCCGCTACGGGCGAAGCACCGGTGGGTCGCGGCCCCACTCGAAAAATTCTATCTGTGAAAGAATTGAAACAAGTTCATGATGATAAACAAAGACTGACTGAACATTTTATTCAAACATTACCACTGTTACTCGATAAGTATAGGGCGGATCCTGAAAAATTGGCAAATCTGCTTGCAATCCCGCAATACTTCGATTTGGATATTTATACGAAATCTCGGCAGGAAATAAACCTGGATTCCTTATTAAATAAAATCCATTCAATCGTAGAAAAAATGCACGACACTGAAGTTTTAGATACAGCGGCTAGAACTTTGGAATACATGTGTGTGGAAGGCCACGCTATTTTCACTAGGTATTTATATTTCTATTCTTTCAGTTATATATATGTTTGATTATCTGTTTAATGTATGTAATATTTAATTTATTTTTGTGTAGATGCAACGTTGCTCGTTCCACTCTGATCGATTCCATTGTGATAAAATATCAAGAAGCGATCGACGAGTACAGAAATTTGATTGAAGGAAATGAGGAACCAGACGAAGATGAAATATTTAACGTTGTCCAGTCGCTCAGAAAAGTTTCCATATTTTACTCTTGTCACAATATGAATCCTTGGAGCATATGGGATTCTCTGTACAAGGACATAGAAGATGCAAAGGATCCATCAAAGTACTTATTCTTCCTATCTATTACAGTTACATGCAATATTTTCAGACGTGTGACTAAATTATAATGCCCACAGACGTTTACCAGAGGAAGCAGTTAAATACTGCATAAGTGCATGCTTCTTCGCTATCTTGTGGGGTCAGAATCATTTGATGGAAGCTGTGGAGTCGGGTAGTCGTGGCGAAGATGAATGTCGACAATTGAAGGAACGATTGCACTCGTTTATGGGTTCGATGCGTCATTTCATCAGCGGTGGCACGGTAAATATACTTTTAACGCTCATTCAAAAATGATTCTGAATATAAACGATATTTATACGTTTGATATCAAATAGCCATCGACACTGGTCTTGAGGGAAGAAGCGTATAACACGATATGCGATTTATTAGTAGTGTTCTGCAATCAATTGACCAGTCACAGTAATTCTTTGATGCATCAATTAGTGTACGAACCCGATCAAGCAATGCAAAACATGCTCAATAGATTTATACAAGAGTATGTCTTTTTCGAAGAAGAAGATGGTGAGTCGATATTTGATTATGCGCTAAACGAGCTTATTGAAGTGTGCACGATATATACATATCAAAATTTATTTTCCAGACGAACATGACGAACATTCTAAAATCGAGGAGCTTCATAAACGAAGAAATTTCTTAGCCGGTTACTGCAAGTTAATAGTGTATAATATGATTCCTACGAAAGCTGCGGCAGATGTATTCAAGCATTATGTCAAATATTACAACGATTACGGCGATATTATTAAAACCACCCTAGGAAAGGCGAGAGACATCAACAAAACGAATTGTGCGCTAACGATGCAACAAAGTTTAAATATTTTGTACAATGAAATAGTGGCCGAGAAGGGAAAAGTGAACAGAAACAGTGAGGAGTTTATGGCAATCAAGGTAGATAAGCGTAGATAATCGATATATTTTAACTTACATATTATCTTACAATGAGATAAAATGTACTAAAATCCTTCAACTTAATTATTTCTAGGAACTCGCGAAGCGATTTGCTTTGTCATTTGGTTTGGATGCCGTGAAAAATCGCGAAGCAATAACAGCCTTGCACCGCGCCGGTGTATTATTCGCCATTACTCCACCGGACGGTATCGAACAAGATCCTACAGGCCCGCCACCGAATTTATCATTCCTCGAGATACTGTCAGAATTCACGAATAAGCTTCTCAAACAGGATAAACGTGTCGTGTAAGTATCTCGTCTTATCAAATTTTATTTTTTTTTTCACGTTTACATGCTTTATTGTGTATGTTTTATTGCAGACTCAACTTTTTGGACAGACGATTACAAGCTGGAATGCCATCTTCGCGAGGAGAGGATTGGCAACCTTTGCTTTTGTACAGAAATAGTTTACTGCACGGTGAAACTGATCAAGTTCCAGTCACAAGTAAGCGGGCTTACACAAGGCGCAAGAAGGATCATTTAGCGGGTAAGAGACTGTCTTTATTTTAAAGAGTATTTTTGATATACGGATTTTATATAATTTAACTTTTACCAAAATTAATTAAATTAGCCGAGAAAATGATTAACTGATCAATCGTAATATTATTAAATATTTGCGGTTTTTGTTATTTTCTTGTGGATTCAAAATTATTTGACGCATACATGAAATTGAACGAATTCAGTGTATTCGATGACAGTACGAAACAGCACGAAAAAATGAACATTGACGACTGCGGAAACGGACGTGTTTATGATTATCATAAGAAAACCATTAAAATTTAAATATTAATGTTAAATCTCTATTACGAGTGTTGTTCATTATTTAAACAATGGTACTGTTTCTTTTGCAGAGGAAGAGGAAGCTGATGAACCTGATGAAGGTTCTGATCATGAGTTTGCAGGGTGAGTTAGGTGTATCCTGAATGACATCTGATATATATAATTATTCCTTTCTATCAATTTTGTTATTAGTACAAATTCAACTGTTATTGCAAGTAACTAATAACGCAAAGAAAAATCGGCAATAATCAATATTTAATCACGCTCGAATATCATTGCAGTATGAGAACTAAATATTTAATTTACTTGCCTTTGAAATGCGAATTATACTGTATATAATATATACTGTTCATAAAAGTGGAAATTCGGATACATTTTATGCACATACTAATGTGCTTTTTTTTTACTACCGCTATGAAACATAAATGTTGCTTGCAAAGTGTAGATCTGTAGAAGTAGTGGTAGTAATTTATTACTAAATTCATTACTAATAATGTCTTTCATTCTATCAGCATTCTTTTCATTAATGCTTTATTAATACTACATTTATGATTTATTTATAAAACTTCAATATTATAATTTAAAGTAATGATAAATTATCAAAAATTAATTATGATTGCAAGGCAACAGATCAATGCATACAGTTAAATTTAATTTGTAATTTGAAATTTAAGCACTACTACGTACAATCGAATCATACTTATACCTTTTTTCATAAAAAAGTCTCATTTCTCTTGCAGTATAACTGCATGCTTGTGCTTAATTTATAAATGTCACTTTGAACGAAAAATTATATTCTCTTATGTTTGCATGAGTAGTAATTTTTGAACCGCTTATTACAGGCGATCCAATCATTATAAGAATTAATCCTTTCGCTGCGATGCGTTTCAACGAAAATTTTCTAGTTTTTAAAGGATTAAAAATATGTTAACATATATATATATATATATATATAGTAACAATAAGGAACAAAAATTCTATTTTGTTTTGATACTGGATTGTTACATATATATGTCATCTCTAAACCATTAAAAAGATGCGGTGTTCGCTGCGAAAGGGTTAAAAAAAATATAAACATTTATCACAAATGTATATCTCTGAAAGTGTACGTAAGGGGCAAAAATTGTACAAGATGCATTTTTAATGTAATTTGTTATACTTGGTGCCCGATTTAGTTTAATAACAAATCACTTCTAAATTTAGAAAGCATTTAGAATAAGAGTTTATTAAGAGACATATAATATTGTCAAGATCATATTTTTTTTAAACAAATGAAAAAGATCGTGCATAGAGAACGATGTGTGTATTTTATCGAGTGATTAAAATCAAGTAAGCTTAAAACTTTGTATTCTGTTTATATATTAATAATACAAATTGGTGATAGATATAAATAAATATGTGAAATTACTTCAAATAAAAGACCTTCTACTCCCAGCGCTCTCCTAAATCCTACTTTATCAAAATTAAAAGGTATTATTGAAAAGCGCGATGCACATTTTCAGTCATCAATATTTAGACGATACGAAAGAATCATCTGTTTCACATATCCTGCAGTTAATAATGCCAATGTTCCTTTTCACGACACGCCGTTCTCTATACCTATCATTTCACAAGTTTGTTATCATTATTCATCTATACATATTTTTATATTACTTTTAACATTTTGCTTGTCTAGAGAAAGATATGAAAATTTAAAGTATTCTATACATTTGTAAAGATTATAAATTTGAATATCATATAGCTCGCAAATTGATGTACATCATATGCATGTAACAGTCTTTTATTACCATGAAATTTTTGTCCCTTTATTTCGAATATTTGGAATATTGCATTTCCCTTGCGTGTAATTGCGCGTTTTCGTTTCAGCAAGCACAAAAAAAAGCGTGGCCCACGGAAGAATCAGTGAGTAATTTATTCTCTCATTATTTTATCAAATTATTCATGAATTAACTAGAGACAAAATAATAACGTCAAATATAGATCATGCTTAATATATAAAATGCAGCGTTGTGATATAATAATATCTACATATTTCAGATTGCCAGTTAATAAAGTGGTGATAACTCGTGGATCCAGGGCGAACGCTTTCTATGAAAATGATGCCGCACAAATTCAAACATCTCCTTCAGCAATCATAGAGGACACGTCAACAAGTCCTTCGCAAGATATTGATAACAGACTTAAGACATTACAAATACAGTCAAGATCGTAAGTATAAAGAAGATTAAATTTATTCTGTTATTATCTGCTGAAATCATACAACAACGAGGAACGTATGTTTTCTTTTACAGACGGAGGAATCAAGAACATACAGAGCACAGAGAGTTGCGGAGAACCTCCAGGAATTCAGGCAGATATGTAGAGGGACAATATATGGTAAGTTTGTGAGCGATATTGCAATATTGAATACTGCGGAATATTGCAAATTACATATCACTTATGGATTTTGATTTGTACTCATTTCTTACAGGAATCTGATTCCGAGTAAGGAGACTTAAAAACTTTATTTATCCCTAAATTTAGATGATTGAATTGTGATATGTGTTCAAAACATATTGTTCAATGCATATATGTTGAAAGCAAGTGTACCATCTGAGAATCACAAAAAGATGTTTAAGTTATACAGATGATGAAAAGCTTGCGGAGCAAATATTAGTATGTTATAACAGATTAGTGTTACAAAGTATAAATATATAAGCGAAATTTTTAGTTTTTTTTTACACAATTGAATTTATTTTATTATGTTACATACAAATTTTACTTATCTTTAAATTTAATTGATTATAGTGATATTTGTTCAAAAAGCAGATATATCATCTGATAATCACAGAAAGATTTAAGTTACACAAATGATAAAAAAAGCTTACAAAGTATTAATGTTAATACAGGAAGCTATTTAGTAACTTTTTTAAATAAACAGACTCTCTTATTGAGATATAATTTTATTTATGAATACACAAACTATAGACTGAGTGATATTTTTACAATCCCATTTTACTTCTTTCATACATTGCGTCATTTATGTTCAAATACTTTATATAAACTTATAAAATGTTTATTACTTACGCGTTATATAATATTTACAATGTTACATGTTATTGCGAAAAGTTAGACAATTTTATTTAAAACAATTTTTCGTATATATTGTGTCATTTTATATTCAAATACTTCATATAAAATGTTCATTTTTAAAATGTTTATTACTTACGCATTATATAATATTTACAATATTATACGTTATTGCAAAAAGTTAGACAATTATATTTTAAAGAATAAAATTGTCAAAATTTTTGTAGTAATTTTTGTGCAATATTTATAAATATTATATAATATAATATAAACCGACACAATATATGAAAGAAGTAAAACGGGATTGTAAAACTATTTAATAAAAACTATTTTAAAAATGATTTAATAATTTTTAAAGAAACGGACATAACTCTCTCTTATTGAGACATAATTTTATTTATCAATACACAAACGATGGACTGAGTGTATTTTTACAATCCCATTTTACTTCTTTTATACATTATATCGTTTTATATTAAAAAATATTTCATATAAATTTATAAAATGTTTATTACTAGTGTCATGATAAAAAGTAAGAATTTTTGATTTCAAAATACAATTATAATTCCATATAACATATAATCCACACGACGCTTGCAATGACACTTAGAGATAGATTAAAATATTGTAGTATTAATTGTAGAACTGCTAGTTTTATATTTATGTTAATATATTACTACCCTTTGTACATGATTATATGACCAGTGTTCATTCATCGGTCTGACTGTATTCGAGATTTACGGAAAAGACTGCTGAGTCTGCGACCTTTTGGCGTGCTAGATGCGTTCTGTTAAAAAAAAAAATGTTTAATATACAAAAGTGCTTAATACAAAAGTCATTTGTGTTTCTTTATACTCACTTCGTCCTGCGTTCGTTTTAACGAGAATATGTTCTTTAATGAGTGCGGAGTTGTCGTCACTCTTCTATCTGCATTCCGTTCTCTTAGTATGCGTGAACTCGGGCTTTTTAACTCATTACCCTGTCGCAAATTGTTAAGAAATGTCAGTTCTTATTTTCATTAAATTTTAATGTCAATTTGTTAGTCATAATTTTAGTGATATAGTTGCATAACAAGAGCATTTTTAACAAGTGTTAGATCATTCTTTCAGCCTTAACCAATTTTTCAACAGATTTTCTTTGCTGTATGCAAGACTAATAGCGTATACAGGAATATACCTGCAGTGACAATCTTCCGCCATTCTTGCTTGGTGTTGGAGGACCAGGTTTTTTATATGATGTCTGTGATGAATATAAAAACCATCACAAACATTAAATAAAAGATTATACAATGAAATTTTAGTGGCGTAACTTTGTCCTTACCTGAGTTCTATCTTTCTTCCTCGCCTTTTGTTCCGGAAGAAGGCTTTGGCTAAGACTGTCGTTAAACGTTTCTTCCGTTAGGGAGCCCGACTATAAAAGCAATGCAGACATTACATGCATACATAAGCATATGAGAACAAAAATAAAACGATATTTGAGATTAATGAAACATTTAATGCGTACATTCGATAAATGCAGCATGCATTTAGAAGAAACTTACTTTAATCTCTTCTTCAGTCAATGTTGGAGGAAGGAATTGCATTTCCGCCGGATAAGATGATTTCAGATGGGGTTTACAGAGGGAATTTCTCATTTGTAAAATAGACAAGCGATCGGTATCTGTGCTGGGCAAGCAATTACCTCTCTTCATATCGGCTGGAATAAAAAAAAGGGATTTATCGATATCATAAAAAGATAATTTTAATTTTTTAGCATATCTGTCTATCCATAGAACATAAATTATACCTAGGTAAACATTATCGAAGATTTCGTCCACATCCTCCGCTTTGAACATATTGCCCATTGCTTGCATATTTCTAATACTGTGTCTCCTCTCAATCGTTTCCTCTGTTATTAATGTTGTCACTTTTTGTGATCTGTGCTGCGTACTCTCTGGAGGTAACATCCCTTGTTTCGCCATCCTATAACGGATTTCAGTTAATTAACACTGTTATATTAATAATTGTGTTCTTTTTGCAATACACATTCTGATACAATTGGACGTACGTGCAAGTCTTGCGCGAAATTGTGGCCACTCCTTGGTCAGCTTCGATCTCCTTGAGTTTGGTTTGTAGTTCTCTGTAACGCTGTACCGCATCTTCGTGGTGTTTCTGCTCGATTATAAGCTTTTCCCCTATGGTCCAAAGTTGAGAACTGAGATCGCTGACGTGCGTTTTGTACCTGTTGAGTTCTTCCCTTTGCTTCTGACACATCACTTCCATTTGAGATTGCAATTTCTCGCGTACAATCTTTTCTTGGTCCTTGTTGAATTTTGACATTTGCTCATTGTAAGCTGTTTTCTAAAACAAATTAAACATTTAATAGCGTTAAATAGTGTTATAATTTATACATGAAACATGGATTTCCAAAATAGAAATGTTCTACTCACCATCTTTTGCTTCACATCTTCCAGTTTCCGTTCGTACGAAGTATGAACCTCTTTCAATTGACTTTCAAGTTTTTGCTTTGCGATTTTGATCGACTCATCCTTTTCTTTGTGTAACTGTAACAGATTTTCTTCGTGTAACTGATTCTGCTGTTTCAATTGCTCCAATTGTTCCTTCAGAGATTCTACTTCTTTCGTGTTAACTTCTGTCGACTCTGTCTCCGTTGATTTTAGCTTCTTTACTTCCGCTCGAAGATCGTCAATATTTTTCTCTAATTTCACATTTCTTGATCGCATACTATCTATTTTATTTTTAAGATCTTTCCCTTCTTTCGTCAGCTGACTAATTTGACTCTGTAGTTTCTTCTCCATCTCTGTTTGATTCTTGATCTTGCCAGATTTTAAATTGTTCTCGTACCATGTGGCTAAGCTCGTGAAAGAATCCATTTCTTCTTCAGACTTTATTACGTCGGTTCGTAGCGCTTTTTGTTTTTCCAGCTGCACATCGATTATCATCTTCTCGTCAGAAAATTGATCTTCTTCTGCATTTGTCAGTACATCCAAACATTCTTTTTCATGTATTGAACATAAGTAGGTATCGCGTAATTTTTGTTCCGTCCACAAGAAATTCTTCCATAAAATATCAGATATGGTTTTAATATTTTCTAAACTATCTATTTCACGTTTAAACAATGCATTTGCTAGACTTGTCTTTTTATCTTGTAACTGTTTGAACTCGTCACAAACGGAGCCCTCAATGTGCAGAATATCCTGGAACTTTGTCAATATTTCATTCCATTTCTGCTTCGATGATATTAAAATGTTGTCTAAATCGTTCCGTGAAGCAAAAATTTTTTGCAGAGATTCTTTTAAGGATTCTTTACTTTTGATAAGATTTTTAAGATAATCATTTCGTTTCTCCGCTATCACCTCCAATTCTTGTATTTTATTTTTCAAACCGCAAATTTCCTCTTTGTCTTTTGCACTGTTTTCCAGAAGTATTTTTTGCTCTTCCAAAGTTTTATTCGATTCAGCATTCGCGCAAGACAAATACGAAATAACTTTCTGAGATTTGTGTAATTGATTAATAGTCATCTTGATAATATTCAGGACATCTGCAGTTTCATTGTCTATATAAATATTCTCATATTGCGACACATCCTGTAAATTCTGATCGAGAAAATCGAAACTTGAACACATCTCCATAATTGTAGAATTCAAATTTTTCGTTGGCTGCTCTAATTTTTCACACAGTTTCACAATTTTTGCTCGACTCGCATCCGTACGCTTGCAGTGCTCCTTATTTGTTTCAAGTTCCGCATTAATTTTCTTTAGCATTTCTTGCAATTCTGCTAAAGTTGTATTTTGGTCTGCTATAGTTTTATTCTTGTCATTAATTTGATTTTGTACATCGAGAAGGTTGCTCTGGCACTCGCGCAACGACAATTTTGCATTTTCAAGTTCCTTATTCAATATTTTTTTAGAGCTATTGAATTCTTCCTGAAGATCTTCTATATGCAGACATTTTTCTTTTAGAGCTGCTTCCTGAGTTGTCAAAACGGCATCCTGACTAGATCTTACTTCTTGAAGATTAACAATTACTTCTTTCATCTTCTTCTCTGTAATACATGCTTTATTTTCCAGTTTGTCCATTTTAGCTTGTAACGCAATCAATGCCTCTTCTTTAATTCCCAATTCTTTATCTTTTGCTTCTAATGCTTCTTTATGTGAACATATCAAATGTTCTTTGTCAAGTTTTAAAGATGATATGTGCGAACGTAATTGTTCAATTTGTAATTCAGAGTCCTTCATCTTTTGCAACAGTTCAGCATTTTCCGATTTCAGCTTTTCCACATCTGCGTCTCGAGATGCTATTAAAGCAAATTGATTAGTTCTTACTTCTTGAAGCTCTTTAATTATAGAACTTGATTCACTTGCCATATCCTTTATTCTTATCTCTAGTGCAGTTATTGCCTCTTCTTTGATATTTATTTCTTTATCTTTTGCATCCAATTCTTCTTTATGCATGCATATCAAATTTTCTTTCTCTTTTCTTAAAAGCGAGACATCCAAATGTAAATCATTAATCTCTTTCTGTTTCAATTCCATCTGTGTGTTTGTATCATTCATTTTCTTTTCCAATGAATTGAGGTTGTCAGTGACGTTGCATAATTCAACTGATATTTTAGCATTTTCCGACTTTAGACTTTCCAGAGTTGCTTCTTGAGTTGTAATTATGGCACCTTGGCTAGTTTTTACTTTTTGAAGATCTTCGATTATAGAACTTGTTTCACTTGCTATTTTGTCCATTTTTATCTGAAGCGTAACTATTGCTTCTTCTTTCACTTCTATTTCTTTATCTTTTGCATCCAATTCTTCTTTATGCATGCATATCAAGTTTTCTTTCTCTTCTCTTAAAAGTGCGACATCCAACTGTACTTTATTAATTTCTTTCTGTTTCAACTCCATCTGTGTGTTCGTATCATTCATTTTTTCTTGCAATAAGGTGAGGTTGTCAGTGGTGTTCTTCAACTCAAGTGATATTTTATCATTTTCCAGTTTTAGTCTGTCCAGAGCTTCTTCTTGAGATGCTATCATGGTAAATTGACTAGTTCTTACTTCTTGAAGCTCTTTAATGATAGAACTTGATTCACTTGCCATATCCTTCATTCTTATCTCTAGTGTAGTTATTGCCTCTTCTTTGATATTTATTTCTTTATCTGTTGCATTCAATTCTTCTTTATGCATGCATATCAAATTTTCTTTTTCTTTTCTTAAAAGTGAGACATCCAAATGTAAATCATTAATCTCTTTCTGTTTCAATTCCATCTGTGTGTTTGTATCATTCATTTCTTTTCCAATGAATTGAGGTTGTCAGTGACGTTGCATAATTCAACTGATATTTTAGCATTTTCCGACTTTAAACTTTCCAGAGTTGCTTCTTGAGTTGTAATTATGGCACCTTGGCTAGTTTTTATTTTTTGAAGATCTTCGATTATAGAACTTGTTTCACTTGCCATTTTGTCCATTTTTATCTGAAGCGTAACTATTGCTTCTTCTTTCACTTCTATTTCTTTATCTTTTGCATCCAATTCTTCTTTATGCATGCATATCAAGTTTTCTTTCTCTTCTCTTAAAAGTGCGACATCCAACTGTAATTTATTAATCTCTTTCTGTTTCAACTCCATCTGTGTGTTCGTATCATTCATTTTTCTTGCAATAAGGTGAGGTTGTCAGTGGTGTTCTTCAACTCAAGTGATATTTTATCATTTTCCAGTTTTAGTCTGTCCAGAGCTTCTTCTTGAGATGCTATCATGGTAAATTGACTAGTTCTTACTTCTTGAAGTTCTTTTATTATAGAACTTGATTCACTTGCCATATCCTTCATTCTCATCTCTAGCATAGTTATTGCCTCTTCTTTGATATTTATTTCTTTATCTTTTGCATTCAATTCTTCTTTATGCGAGTATATCAAGCTTTTTTTCTCTTCTCTTAAAAATGAGACGTCCAAACGCAATCTATTAATCTCTGCCTGTTTCAATTCCACCTGTTTGTTTGTATCATTCATTTTTGTTTGCAATAAATTGAAATTGTCAGTAACGTCCTTCAATTCATGTGATATTTTAGCATTCTTCGACTTCAAACTTTCCAAATTATTATTTGCTTCAGTTTTCATCATTGCATATTGTTCTTCTAACGCTTGATTTGTTTCTTTTACTTGTAGTACATTCTGTTTGCATTCATTTAATTCATTATAGAGAATTTTTTCCTGTTCTTTCAAAGCGCTTATTATTTTCTGATTTTCTAATAAATTTTCTTCTAATATAGTATTTCTTGTTTGAATGTCTGATAATTCACTGTTAGTGCGATTGAAATTACACTCCAACTCCTCTTTTTCTTGTTGCACTTGATGGAGTTCATGATGCAATGTTTGATAGTTACGTTGTAATTTTTCAAATATCAGTTGAACATTTTCTTGATATTCTGCAAAGTTTCGTTGAGTCGTTTCTTTTATTAATTTGAGATCTTTATTTACATATTGGATATCTTCTAATCGTGTCATAAGAGATTTCAGCAACTGTTCTTTGTTGAGTAAACTGCTTTGTAAATTGCTTATTACTTCAAGTAAATTCTGTTCCAAAATATGTTTTTCATCTCTAATCTCTTCCAAATTCTGCTTATTTCGTTCTTCTAAAGTTGTAATAGTTAATTGTTGTTCAAGTAAATTTTTATTTGTTTCTTCTACTGCTGCTTTTAGTTTCTCGATGTCACATTTATATGAAGTGCATACGGTATTATAATTATGTAACATTGTTTCTATGTGTTTTATAAGATCATCAAGTGTCAAGTTATCTAAATTGTCAATTGAAATTTGTATGAATTGATCACAGTGAAAAATATCTCTTATATTTTTACTATAATTTTCGATAGAAGATCTGTACGAATTTCTTTCATCTGTAAGCTTGTTAATGTGTGTGAGATGTTCCGCTACCTGTGATTTTGTTTCTGTTAGAGAAATGTTTAAGTTTGTACAATTAATCCTTTCGTTTTCAAGCAATTCATGCAAGTCCGTCACCTCTAGTTTTAAATTATCCAATTCTGTATTCAATGTAGCAATCGACTGTTCTTTTTCAGATAGTTTCTTTTCATTAGATGAAAGTAAATTTTTCAAATCTTCATTTTGAGCAACAAAAGACATTTTCTCTGACTGTAAATTTGTAATATCTGTATTCAAAATATTTAATTCCTTCTGCGTATTATTTAGTTTTGCTTGCAGTTGATCTAACATTTTTACTTTCTCTTGCAAATCTCTATTTGATTCCATCGCAGTTTTATAATCTTTCATAAGAATGTCTAGTCTTCCTTTTAAAGTGTCAACTTGAGCGTTCAATATAGCAGATTCTTCTTTAGCTTCCTGGAGTTGGATTTCAATCACAGAACTTAGAGCTTCACTAGTATTCAGTGACCTTCTTTGGGAAATCATTGAAAGTGGTACATCTTCAACTTCAAAGCTTTGTTCTACATTAGAATTTTTGTTCAATTCCTTGATATATGTGCGTAATTCTTCGTTGTGTATTCTGAGTTCTACCAGTTCTCTGTCTTTCAATTCAATTTTACTTGATAGAGTTTCCAAAGATCGTTCAGAGATTGTGAAATTTTCTTTATAATGCACTGATGTTCTCTGCAGACTGGATAGCCCTTTAGCTAAAGTATCATTTTCCTCCTCTAATTCATCAATTTGATCTTGCTGTTTATTCAACTGACTTGTCAAATCATTAATATATTTCTTATAATAATCTTCTCGTGAGATGTCCTCTTTTGAACGAGAAGGCTTAGGAGTATTTTGTTTTATTTGTTCCTTTCGCAATGTTTTCAGTTGTTCTGATTTTTCATCAAGCTTTTTCTGCAACTTTTGTATCTTTTCCTGCAGCATCTTTACATCTTCTCGTAAATCCGTATTGGTGAATCGTTCTACTGCTAAATTACTTTTTAATTCTCTTAGCTCCCGAATTCTTTCAGTCATAATTTTTTTGCTACGTGCAGAACGTGTGGCAGGAGAATGAGAAAATCCCGCAACAGGTGGTGGAGTACATGATATATCTTCTACTTCCATAATAACTTCTACTATAGTTTCCTTGGTGATCTCTTTTCCAAGAGGTAAAGTATTTTCAAGAAAGGTTTTAACTCTAATTTGTGTTTCATGTTTTAAAACATCAAACATATTGTATTTTAGATTTGATGCATTGTATAAATCATGTATTGCAGTGATTGTTCGGCTTAAATGCACTAATAACAAAGATGCAACGTATAAGTGTTCTGTATTATCATCTTTGTTGACTTTAAAACTGGGATACTCATCTACAAATTAAGAATAAAAAAAATTAACACCTAATTACATATAATAATTGTATTTACATTATTGTTTTTAATTCTAGTTCAGTAATTGTTTAGAGTGCAGAAATATACAGTCATATATTAGAAAACTAAGCAGCATATAAAACATAAAAACATGTGTGTTTACCTTCTAAAAACTTTAAAATAAGATCTTCTTGATTGCTATTGTTCTCATATTTTTCCCATTTTCTGTAACATATTAAATTAATTAATATATGATGGATTTCTAATTGATATATAATATATAAATATCACAATTATATATATAAATTTACTTACATTAATTCCAGGAACTTGATATAAAATACTCCATCTTGCAATTCCGTTGTGTTTTTCACTGGTTCTGTTAGTAATTGTGAACAATTGATCTGTAAAGGTGAAATGTTTCTTTATAAAAATATATCTTTTTCTTGGACCTTCTTTCTTTAGATAAACATACATTTTTTTCAGCAGCCTTTTTCAATTTTAGTTCAAGTTTAGTTTTAAGATAATAAAAATTATGATATGCCCATAATTTAACGAGAAAAATATTGCCCGAAAATTGCAAAAAATGTAAAAAAATAATTTTAAATAAAAATTAAGAATAAAAATTAATAAAATCGAAATGTGACAGTGTAGTACATTCAAAGTCCCATACGTGCATACTTCATACGTTAAATTTTCATTGAATATGACATTAAATTGACATTAATGATTATAAACTAACTACTCACCCATTCTATAATATCCTTTTCCCATAGCTCCATATTTATCATGCACAATTATATTTAAGTCATTAAAACTATAAAATTTGCACATAAAACTTCCTCACTGTATCTACAATTACAAACAAGGCAAGTTCGTTTGATTTTGTACAACGGAAACTCGCATTTTGACCAACCAAGCTAATCGAATATTTCTAAGCAAAAATTATGCTTTATTCTTTCCTAAAGATACGTGTTATGCATACCGTGAGAAGTGGCACAATAGCCAATCAACTGATCGTATTTCTGCTTTTGCGAAAGTGCACGTGCCACACAAAAGAAGCATAATGTTACGGGAAATTATAACCTTAAAGATGGTACGATTGACACCGTGAACTAAATATTGTTTTGCAAGAGTTGCGGCGAAATTGACTCTACTTGACCGGTTAGTAAACGTTTACGCGACAAAAGTTATAGAAGAAATATTTATCGTACTCGTATTCGTGAATCTCATGTAATCCACCGCGCTTTCACGCGGAAACAGCAGCACCATGAGTCTGATTGCGGATCCGCTTCTATTTATAATCTCATTGATCATCACGGGTTTTGTGTTGTTCCTCCTGGTGTATTATGTATCCTTTTCTACCGTCGATAATTTTATTAATCTTTTTTTTAATATTTTGTTGAATCGAAATTATGATGCAAAATAAAGTTTAATATAAATGAGGGGCAAGGGATTTTCTTTATAATAAAGATTATGTTGGGATTGGCAGCAATGAGACTTTTTTAAAATGAAGAGGTTATGTTTACATTGATATTATTTAAAAATTTTTTTAAGCAGGGAACGAATTAAAAATAGATTTACTGCTAATTTACTGCTAATTTACTGCTAATTAATTATCACTAATTGACAGCTATTTTCCTTGACTATCTTGTAAAGATAATAACATTATCGGATCTCGAATGTGATTATTTGAATGCACAAGAATGTTGCTCTAAGTTGAATATGGTAATATCAGAGTACACTTTGTAATTTGTTAAGTGAACGCAATGTAAATTGCTTTATTAATTTTATTACAGGGAGTATTACCAAAACTGATAGCACATACATTCTTAGTATGTCTTCTATTAATACATGGACAATTAATATTGACATTAGTGAACATACCTATGACGATATGGTTGTTTTACGAATATTTTGGAGTTCCCAGTGGAAATATGGGAGTTTATGACCCCACAGAGATTCATAATCGTAGTCAATTAAAAAGATACACACGTGATTGTATGATTCATTTGGGATATTGTCTCATATTTTTTTTATTTATCTTTATTGGTAAGTATAAATTTTTAAGTGTTGATGATTTCTTACATAATTTAATTTTCTTAATCTTTCAGCATGATTGTGGCATTTCTGAAAGGAGATCCTATCAACAGGAACGACGACACTATAATAGAATTATGAATATAGAGAAATCGAGGAGCCCTACAAACCCCTTTTACACGCGTGTTCATCTTTTATAATTTTATATAATAAGTCTTTCATATATAAGAATAATAATAAGCCTATATAGATACTAGACTATTATATAAGATTATATAAGTAATCTAGACAGCGAATGTACCATTGTGTCTATTGTACGTGTTGCTTATGCATAACGTATGGAAATAATCGTAAGTTTCTAGTCTTAAAGTTATAAGCGAAAGTCTGTATTATAGCAGGGATTGTGTTTAAGGATTGCAATATAAGTGTAATATTTTACGAAATTTTATTGCTAAATCCATTACAGGTGATATTGAAAGAAAGACTATTGCGAGGATGCTTTTTCTGGATGAAAACTATCCAAAGGATTTATTATCCGTTAGAAAAATTGATCTTTCATCCTTCATTTCAAACGCAATTACATCACATCTACATATTTTTTGGGAGAGACAAGCCGCGACCTGATTTCCTGAGTGCATTGCATCACACGGCTCCTCTTATCAACTGTCTCATTTAAATGAACCTTAAATCGGCGATAAGAGACGCTATCTTTGCATGCACGAAAGAGCACACGGGAACACGCGATGTTGTCCTCGCCGTCGTTCTATCTCGCGTGTTTGCCGTGTCAAGTTGACTTAGGTTTAATGGCAGTCGGACGAGATTGGATCGATTTAATGGGCGCGGTGAAGGTGATTAGTTTATTCTCCCCGGTGGATGGAAGGGCGCGTTTATTTTTAGATCAAATTCAAAGCGGTTTCTATATAGCTGCACGTGTGCGTATATGTATGTGTGCGCTCGCACACACCGAATTTTTCGCTCCGTTTTCGCCGAAAAATCTAGCACCCTCTCGCCACAGCGGTCAACCGAGCTGTCGAAAACCCATTGAATTCCCGCCACCGCTGTTGCGTCGTCGCGCAAATTACTCGGAACTAATGTAAAATCGATTGCTACGTGTTACGCAGCGGAATCTCGGAATTTGCGGGACGGAGAACCGCAAATCAATCGCCGTATGTACACGCTGGCGATAGCATGAGTAATAGCCGAGAGGGTTGCGCAACCCCCGTGCCGTTAACTCCCGACACTGTTCGCGCCCTCGTTAACGCTCGTTGGTCGAGCTCTCTTTCTCTCCCTCTCTCTCTTTCGTGTATGTAACCCTTTCATACTCTTTCCCCGATGACCGACGCAATCGCTTTCCATGCGAAAGGCGAGAGAGCGGTAACGCAAAGCGGAAAATTCTGCAGGACGATGAGAGTGAAGAAAGGGATATTTTTATACTTCCGCCTCGCGTCGTCAAAGTAAATGCAAGAAATTTTCTTTATCTTGTTATAGGTAAGATTATGAGAAGAAAGAGCAAGAAATCAAACATTGCTTTATCAAGTTTAAAGAATTTCTACTAAATTCATTCGTTGAAACAATTTTTGAAATTAATTTCTCTGTTCAAATTGCGGAATGGTCCAATATCATAACTGTGTTCGAAGTAAAATTATAATTTGAAAAGGAACAGACAACCGATTCAAATGGCAACAATTACCTCGAGTTTAAGAATCTTCCTGAATTCTCTATGTAAATCATAGATAAGATTATAATCTATATTTATTATGATCAATTCAGGTTCGGTCGTGTCAGCGTCATTAAGAGGCGACTTTAATTGAGGAAATTTCCTTTCTCTCTCGCGCCACTGGCATAATTTAAATTTGTTAATGTAATTTGGAAGCGGATTTAATTGAGAAAAATAATTATTTTTCCTCTGCATTGCAGGCACGACTGCGTAATTCGAGAAGAGATAACGAGTCGATTTGGCTGTAAAACAAATTAGAGCGCGAAAGGCGGCAGGCGCGCGCCTATCGGCGCCTCGGTAGAGCGCCTCCTGGTGTTGACGGTGCGGACGGCGCGGTCCGTGCGCTCGGTGTTGTCGGTGTCGGTGCTTGTCCTCGGCGCGTGTGGCACGACACTCGACGCGCGGAAGGATGTTGCTGTTGCCGCTGGTACGGAACGTGCGGCCGAGCTGGACCAACGACGAGCGAGTGAACGGCTGAGAGAACGCGTGTGCGAGTGTTCCAACGCGAGAGACCGCATACACACGCAGTTGCCGTCGTCATCTACGCGCGGCTGGCCGAGGCGAGTCCTGTGCGCGCGCGCGCGGACGGTTAAGGATACCCGATTTGTGCTCCGGATATAATCGTCATCGGTACGCTCCCTCCTTGGTCGGTGAAATGTCCTCGCGGACGATCATCCTGCTTACGGGATCGAGCTGAACGGAAGATTTCGATTAACCGGATTTCAGACCGGATTTACTTTTTATGCTCTTCGAGGACACGTCGAGCGCACGTACTTTAAAAAAAAGAAAAAGGTATATATATATAATCGTGAGGTGCATTCCGTGTGACGACGATAACGGCGATAATCGCCGTTGCCTTGGTACCAGCAGCGGCGACTGAGACACGGTGCTCCTAATGCTTGAAATCTCGATGAGGCTTATGTCGTCGACGTCGTCGCCGTCGGAGCCGTCGTCGCCGTCGGAGCCGTCGTCGCCGTCGAAGCCGCTGCCGTCGGGATCGTCGTCGTGGTTGCTGTTTCTGTCGCCACCACCACCGTCGGAGTTGTCGTCGGCGTCGTCATCATCGCCGTCATTGTCAGCGTCGTCGTCGTCAGCGCCGTCGTCGTCAACGTCGTCGTCGCCGTCGTCGCCGTCGTTGTTATTGTCATCGCTGTCGTCCTCGTGGTCAACGTTCGCGTGCTCCTTTACACTACCGCCGTTCTCCGTGTCATTCGCTGCTTTGTCTCTACATTTATAAGGAAGAGTCGGTACTGGACAGTGCGGGTTTGCAGTAGCAAGGAGTCAGGATGGCAGGCAATAAAAGTACAGCCATCACCATGCACACAAAACCGGTGGAAGTTTCCCAACAGCTACAGGAAGGAGAGAAGTTTGTCAAATGGGACGAGGTTTGTGTGTATTTTTAATGTTATAGTTGACTGGTTTAATGTCGAGTGAAGCCAGTAAAATATAAATGTAAAAGGTCACTTGGACATAAAAATGCTGCCTGCTTACTTGGCATCAAAAATAAAACTGGCCCATAATGATCCTGAGATAACAAAACAAATATCTTATTTTCTGAAATGTCAGCTTAAATATATTGCGCTATAAGAAAAGATCACATGTGAATTGGAAAAAAAAAATAATTACACAGTAAAAATAAATTTGTTGTAATACCAAATATTATGTGACTATAGGATTCTGGGATAGCAACGCCAGTGACTTTGAAAGTGGATAAATATGGGTTTTACTTACATTGGGTGGATCAAAATAATGAGATGGATATGCTGGACATAGCAGTTATAAGAGATACGCGAACAGGAAAATATGCAAAAATACCAAAGGTATCAATTTCATTTGTTTCTTTTAACAATAATAAATATCTTTAATAATGAAAAATTGAGTAATAATGATAAACATATTTACATATGTATACATGTAATATTTATGAGCCTAATATTATGACCTTATTTGCATCACAGTGCAGTAAATATGAATATTCAGAGATAAATAACTAAAGAATTCTGGTTTTTCCATAATTATACCAATGACGCACAGAGGATCATCACATAATAATTATTGACTAATTTATAAATAGAACATTACCTACTTTATGTCCCATACATAGTTTGCTTTTTTTATCACACCTACTACCTGCACCAATGGTAGATAAAAGGTAGTTCCGTATTCATTGAAATAATAGCATGCCTCGCTGGATCAGTTTTCCTATAAATCAATAAACAGAACTTTGAATGGATTGACATACTTTTGCATAAAAGCGGTTGATCTGTATTTGACTCATTATGTGAAACTTTTTGCTTTTGCTTATTGACGCGTTAGCATTATTATAGGAATTTCACTTATTTATAGATGCCGAGCTTTATATCGGAAGATAATGAAAAATTATCGTAAATTAAAAATTTTTTAAACTTTTTCCGTAGGATTCAAAGCTAAAGTCTCTTGTAACGATGGGCTCTCAAGACTCCCTAGAAGACAAAACTATAACAATCTGTTATGGTTCTGACTTTGTCAATATGAATTTTATTAATTTTTGCACGACACGTGCAGAAATAGCACAACATTGGACGGAACAACTTTTTCAACTGGCGTACAATTTAATTCAATTAAACACTAGCACAACTATGTTTTTACTAAAAGCACATACCAAACTAATACTTACTGCTGATAAATCTGAAAAAATACCAGTAAAGAAGTGAGTATAGTAAATTGTGATTGTAATTCCAACATTATTTGTAATGCTGTTATTTTTCTATTCCAATCTTTTTGCAGTATAATAAAAATGTTTACACAAAATAAGGAAGATCGCAAGCGTGTTGAAAAAGCACTCGATATTTCTGGCTTTCCCTCTGGCAAAGTGAGTTTTTATTTTACAAATATTGCTTACCTGTGAAATGTATTTTCTTCCAAAAAAAACTCCGCACACATTCACTTATTGCGTAATATTTTTTCTCAGAGCGACGTCGTGCCGTTGTCCAAATTTCAATTTGAGGACTTCTTCAATTTTTACAAGTCTCTCACTCAGAGATCAGACGTGGAAAAAGTGTTTGAAGGACTTGTCGGCAATAGCAAACGCAGATTGATGTCTGTTTTGCAATTTGTGGATTTTTTGAATAAGACGCAGCGGGATCCACGCCTTAATGAGATCTTGTATCCGTATGCAAATGAAGCAAGGGCAAAAGATATCATAAATCAGTATGAACCCAACAAGTGTAATGCGAATAAAGGTCAACTTAGTTTTGACGGTTTCTTGAGATATCTTATGAGCGAGGATAATCCGATTGTTGCGGTCACCAAATTTGAATTATCGGACGACATGGATCAACCACTTGCGCATTACTTTATAAATTCTAGTCACAACACATACTTAACAGGTATTATAATAATAATTCTTACCACACAATATTTTTATTTAATTTGGACACCCGTAAGAATAAAGTTTCCCCTGTTTAGGGCATCAACTTACCGGTAAAAGCTCTGTGGAAATTTATCGCCAATGTCTTCTAGCCGGTTGTCGATGCGTCGAATTAGACTTTTGGAATGGCAAAGTTGACGAGCCTGTTATCGTTCATGGGTATAAATATTTATACACACATTGAAAAAGTATGTGTAAAATCGTTTCTAATTAAAGATGCATATTTTTAGATATACATTTGTACCTGAAATTAATGCGAAAGAAGTGTTAGAGGCGATCGCTGATAGTGCTTTTAAAACGTCTGAATATCCGGTCGTTCTCAGTTTCGAAAATCACTGCAATGAAAAACAGCAAGCCAAAATCGCGCAGTATTGTAGAGACCTTTTCGGAGAAATGTTACTTGACGCGCCACTTGAATCTCACAAGGTACTCTAGACACATTACATTTATAAAAAACATTGCATGCAAAAACTATGATTGTATAATAAATAATCTTTTTGTTTTTGTTCTTTAGTTAGAACCAGGTCATGAGCTTCCACCGCCGGCATTATTAAGGCGCAAAATAATAATAAAAAACAAAAAGAAGCATCATCATCACAAGAAGCAGAAGAAGCAACAGCAAGCATCGGACACTGCTGAAGGTACACCGGAAAGTGAAACAAACGGAACGGTAAATCCATCCGCTGCGGGCGAGAACGGCCCGCCGCCGGACATAATACCTCAAAATGACATGGCTGATGGCGTCGGATCTGAAAATGAACAGCAGATTGGGAACGGTGACATTCCCCACCCACCGATGCTACAACAAAGACAGGGTAGTAAAGATAGCGCCCAGGACGACGAAGGTTCGTACGAGAAAATTGAAGCAATAAATACATTAACGAAGGGCGTGCGATATTTAATGAGTTTATTCCTTTAGACGATGAAGATGAATCGAGTACAGAGGATGATGAGTGCAATGTGGAAGATATGAAACTGAGAATGGGTGACAAAGGAGCCGCGCCGGATAAAGCATCCGCGGCCAAGGAAACGGAAGCGGGCGCGGAAATTTCGGCTCTAGTTAATTACGTGCAGCCCGTACACTTCAACAGTTTTGAATCGGCTGAAAGTGCGTGAAATATTTAATAGAAACATTTCGATGCGCTCAATGTCACGTGACAATAAATTTTCACATTTTTGCTTGTATTTTCTAGAAAAGAATCGCATGTACGAAATGTCATCCTTCGACGAGAAGCAAGCCACGACTCTCTTGAAGGAGAGGCCGTTAGAGTTCGTAAATTACAACAAACATCAGCTGTCCAGAGTTTATCCAGCGGGCACGCGATTCGATTCCAGCAATTTCATGCCGCAAGTATTTTGGAACGCGGGATGTCAGCTGGTCGCGTTGAATTATCAAACGCTTGGTACATAAAATTTTAATCTGGTGTACTATTTTATATATTATTTCGCATTTATTATTGATAAACCTAATCGATTTTATCGGCGGCAGACCTGGCGATGCAGTTAAATCTGGGAATATTCGAGTACAATCAACGTTGCGGTTATCTGTTGAAACCAGAATTTATGAGGAGAAAAGATCGACGGCTAGATCCTTTCGCCGAGTCCACTGTTGACGGTATTATAGCGGGCACGGTTCACATTCACGTGATATCCGCACAGTTTTTAACTGACAAGAGAGTGGGCACTTACGTGGAAGTGGACATGTACGGTTTACCGGCGGACACCGTAAGGAAGAAATTCCGCACGAAAATCGTGCCGAATAACGGTATCAATCCTGTATACGACGAAGAGCCGTTCGTATTCAAAAAGGTAAAACAATATTTTGTATAGCTAAGTTGCGCTATAAAATGCCGTCGTATAATGTCTCGTTTTCGTATTCGCCAGGTAGTTTTGCCGGAACTTGCCTCGATAAGGATAGCCGCGTACGAAGATTCCGGACGTTTAATCGGTCACAGGGTACTTCCGGTAGTTGGATTATGCCCAGGATACAGACACGTCGCGCTGCGAACAGAGTGTGGGCAACCGCTACCGTTAGCGAATCTGTTTTTATACGTTATCGTGAAGGATTACGTTCCCGATGGCTTGAGCGAGCTTGCCGAAGCTCTGGCGAATCCCATTAAGTATCAGAGCGAAGTGGAGAAGCGAGAAAATCAATTGTTAGTTCTTACGGATTGCCTGGAAACACCGGAGGAAATCGAAGTATGATCTAAGATGCTGCTGAGCGATTTATTAAATCTTACTAACCGCTTAATTTTTCCAAATCCACTAACACTACTAACTGCTTTTGTAGGATAAGGATAAAGTTGGCGACACTTCTCACACTAGTTCTGTTAAACCAGCTGTAAGTTTCCTGCGCGACTCGACTGTCCTGTGACGTTTCAGTTAACAATGTTGTTTTTGTAGGAGGAAATTGTAAAGACCAAACGCATGCAGTCTATTTCCGGCGAATTACCGGCGAGTCTTCTACCTACTTCCGGTAGCTTACACGGTAGACCGTCTATCGCCGGCTTAAGTACGGACACGGTGGACATAGAAGACGAAGCTCCATGCCCTGCAGTTCCACCAGTCGATACTTCTATAAATAAAAGCCCGGTCAACGTCAGCAGCAGTGAGTGTCTTCGTTTATATGAATTAAGCATTTTATCATTTTTTTCTGTGTGACACTTTAGCGTCTCTTTTCTTTCGCAGCGAGTGACGAAATAGTGGCCGAAAGTTTGGAGAAATTCATGGAAAACAAGTTGGTTAGGGAGAAAAAGACGGAGCTCGAGAAGAAACTGGAATCGCTGAGGAAGAAGCACGAGAAAGAGAAGCTGCGAATGCAAACGCAGAAAAGCTCCCTCGATGGCGAGAAGCACAAATCGAAATTTTACATGAGCAATAAGCTGGTGAAGCGGCTGTCGAGCAAGAACATGTAAGTATATGAATGAGGTAAAAAATTCTATAATTCATAATTAAAAAATTCTATAATTTTCAATATTGCGTCATTTTTAAGCAGCTTCTCGAGCGAAGTGGGTTTAAGCACTTTGGCTATGCCTGAATCCTCCGAATGCTCGGAGAACGCGGAGAATCGTGAGGGGAATGAAGGTTCCAGAGGTTTGCCTAGAAGTCAGAGCGAGCGGTTTTTGGCTATTTGCAAGGCGCATGTTCAGCAGGAACGTGAACTCCAGGAGAAGTATTACGAGAATCTCTTTGCGACCGTCGAAAAAGTAATGAGAGCGTCGCAGTCTAATCAACTGAAGATGCTTCAGGCGCATTTCGATAGAGAAACCGCAGACGTTAAACGAAAATTGCAGGCAACGAGACAGGGCGAGGTATTTATATATTTTCGTTTACACAATAAAATATATATACATAAAATTATCAAATTTATTATTTTAGGTCAAACAATTGGCCAAAGTGCACAAGGATAAAGCAGAACTGGAGCGCATAAAGAGAGAAGTCGCAAAATCGACCGTAGAGAAAGGCGTGAATGAGTGCACGCGTTTGACAAAAATCTACGATAAGAAGAGAGTGGAGTTGGAAAGACAGCATGAAGAGGTGCGGCAAAAGTTGGAGGAGGAACGAGCCAAGGTTTGAATCCTAATATAATGAATAATATATTATTTTATTTATCATATCTTGTGAAATTCTTTTGCACTTTAACGCGACAGGTGAAAGCTAATCTGCTAGCAGAGTATAGTAGCCGCTATAGCAAATACGAGAGTGGCGAGTTTTCCTTGTCACCATCTGGCGGTGCTAGCATGCCCGAGTCATTGAGTGAGAATACATATTGACTCGTGAAACGAGTTGTTTAATTGTGCGTTGACTGAAGATACGACATCGAGTTACGATGTTCGACATGCAATCGAGTTATGAAATTTGGAGCATCGAGCGTAAAAGACGCAGTCTGAATTTTGTAACGGCATGTGGGGAGAGGAAGAGAAAGCGAATATTACCAGGACATAATATTTCCTCCACTCATAAGAAAACGAACCAATTACGACTAACAAAATGCTGGCATGTGGTACATCTGCAGCTGCTCGGCGATGATAGATAGAACGTTCTTGCCATCCCGCTGGAGATATCAATACGGTAACGATACTGTACCGAGAGAGATTAAGTGATTTTAGACAGCTCGGTACTGCACGAAGTATGATGAGTAACGTCTTCAACTACTATGTATGATACAGTTGTATGTATATACTGAACTTTTACCGTTTAATATTTCAAGGAGATTAGATGTCGAATAATGGGATCGAGGTAATTTTCTATTACTTCAACGCTGTGTCTTTTAGTATGGTCGTCATTATTCGATTGACGCATTGATCGTACGTATCGATCGGTTCTTTAACCGGTCGCGTCTCACTAGGTACGTGGAAACGCTATATCTTGATCTCTTTACGATAAAACGTCTGCTTAAAGAGACAACATCAAAGAGACAACGTCAAATTTCAATGGTAAATATGAGTTTCGCGTTATTTGCACATACAGTATTAAACAGTCTGGGAAATTCCGGGATCTAAAATGGTCGCTGACGCGACAGTTGACGTATTTGCACGATCTCAACACAAGCATTAAGATCGTTCGCGAGAGATACGCGCGAGAGGTATATATAATTCTAAATAAGAGAATACAACTTTCCTAAGTGCTAACATTTAATATTGTTGTTATATGCATAAGACATCGTTATTTAATCGACTACTTAAACTAAGTCTAATCGCGTTCCAAGATGCTCCGTTTACGCGGGAAACAGATTGGTCTTCGACTACCAAAAGTCAGATCTCAGGAGATTCCAGTCAGAATAACGTAAGGAGTATACCGAGAGGATGAAATCTCTTTGGCCTAGAGGAGAAACATTGGAAAGAAATTTGCACGAACGCGTGAGTGATCTGATATATTTTTGACTGAAAGTACTCCATGTAAAATATTCGTTTTTTTTTCTGGGAAAGCCCCATACTGTGAAGATACCGGGACAGTCTCCCGCCGACAGGCAGGACAGTGTCCCGGTATTTCGCTGTGTAGAGCGATTCTTTGTATCCCGAGCGGTCCGATCGGGCGAACCTCTTTGAGGAAGACAATCAAAAATGTTACATGGTAACATTGTCCTTGTTGTTTCTACTCGTACGATATTTTAGGCTACGCGCTACGATACGTGTACACAGATATTTATGAGGGAATTCTTCGTAAATGTAACGAACTTAGGTTTAAAACTGATCGCATTGTAAGTCTACATCGTGTAAAAATCCGCTATTTATTTCACGTGTTGATTTATAACGAAGGCAGAGGTACGCGGGGTGTATCGCAACTGCTTAGTGATAATCGCACGAATAACGACGATCAAATCAAAGATGACATTTTTACAGACATATGTTATATCTACTTAAGTAACGCGCAGTTACGCTCTGTCGTTATGATTTTTATATTACTATTTATATTTCGTGTTATATTTGCGTCCAAGGATTGCATCCTTCATTTCGATCTGGAAATTGCGTTTCGACGCATATTTTAGAATCTTTGATAAATTCATTTATTGTTAAATACTTGATAAATGGACAGGAAATTGCTAGCAAGGCGTTTACGATTCAGTTGCACAAGTGTAATGCACAAGTGATCCCATGGCATTTAGTATTTTCGAAATTTAGCTGTTCTTTTTATGCCTCGTAATTCAAGTACATCCTTTTATTGTGTGTACTTACACAAAAAAAAAATTCTGCTTTGATCTGATCGATTACGATTATTAAATAAGATTATGTGCGCACAGGTACGAAAGTTGGTTACCTGCAAAACTCGAATGAATCTCGACACCGATTATATTATATTTTACATCGAGCGTTCATGTATATATAGAACACAAAGAGTATGTGTTCATCTCAATTATATTAATTTTTCTGTACCATTTTACAATTTTGTGGAATTTACAATTTTTAGCGTTTTTTTTATTCTCTAAAATTGTTTTCGAATAACAGGATGATGTGATGTTACTTTTACAAATTTTTATAATCAAAATTTTTATTTATTTTATATTAGTTTGTAGATTTTATTATTACATAAATTTTCTTTTATAATTGTATATATCACCGCGTGCAATAATAGTTGGATATGATAAAAAAACGTTGATAAAAAATCTCAAGGTCATCATTCTATTATTAAAAGTTTAATTATTAATTGTAGAGTCATTATTATTAATATAGCCGCTCTTGTGGTACTATTTTCTGCACTGTAAAGAACAAAGAACAAATTGAAAATGCTTGTAATTATTTTATGAGTTTTAACGAAAGATAAAAGAATGATTAAAGTAGATGCATTTATTATTGCAGGCGATAACAAGCGGTATTGCTTCTCTGAAGAACGATTGAGCCTAAAGTTATATCCCGTGCACCTCTTTCAAACGCAATGACGTTTCGTTCGCTGTAGATGTAAAAAAAAAAAAAGGGTAGTCGCATTTGGTTCACTTGAAATAGTCGCGTCCTTTGCAAGGGAATATCTAATATATGTATATTTCCGGTAGACTTAGGTTTACACACGAAACCATTGAGAGTACGCAGAGTTACCGTTTTTTTAGTCGATTGTGCAGTAGCATTTCTTCCACAAGCGAAGTTACCGATCATTTTTAAGATTGTATCGCGATTGATCTTTTCTAGACATGGATGATGGAAGATAGAGTCATAAGAAGAATAACGTTTAAGATTAAAGGCGATACGTGTAAGCCTTGTATCTACTACCCCCGGAATCCGTATGAAGAAATCGGTAGCGTCGTTCGTGGGTTAATCGTATGCATATGCGTGCGTAAGTGTCGGTATTTTTGTTGGGATTGGACAGATACCGTGTTGTGTACGATTTCAAGCAACTTCCTTATAATAGAAGAAATCGATTTAAATCGATATATATATATAAATTTTACAGTATATACTAGATTTATATCGTTATTAATGACATATACTCTTTCCAGCGCCTTGAATGGTGATATTTATTTCGGTTTTTTTCCGAATGTTATTTTATTTCGTTTGTAAGTTTTTCGATGTCTCGCCTCTTTGAAAATGCATGTATTTTAGTATAAGCGTTTACTTTGCGAATATATCGTTTTAGGGTTTGCGGTATTAATGATAATATAGAGATCTTGACTTTTCTCTTATATTTATGTGGTATCCAAGCGCTCAAATTTTTGGTATATGTTTTGATTACCTGAACTATATATTATCTCATTGAAGTTGAAAATATTGAAAGCACACGAGATAATTGGTGTGTGAGCGATAGGAATGATCCAGTCAAATATGTATTTCCAATTACATGAATAGTTTGCGTTTCTTTTACGTTCTAAAAGTATTTATTACAGTTTTATCGTGAGCTTCGTTACCTTTGTTACGTAATTGGGGAGTTGGAAGTCGATTTTGCCATTATTCTCTATATAGTAAATATTGTTAATATATTATTATAAATACATATTACGAATGAACTTGAATATATCATAAACGACTAATAAAACTCTTTTCTTTCAACTTACTCAGATTTTAAGACAGCCTCGAGCTGATTTTCCTGAAAATTGTGTAAAGATATTTACGCTCTCGTCGCGTTCAACTCCTCAATTATAGTTATAGAGTACTCTACCTATGCATTTATGTCTTTCAACTAGAATCAGATTGAATTGCTGTATGTATTGATTGGATCGCTGTCAGCGATCTTTTTCTGCGTATATATATACTATATACATAAATATTGCATGACTTGCTTGGGACATGATCGGCGTCGTTCTCTTCCTACATTACTGTAACGTACATATATACGCGTGTATGTACGTTACATATGCGGACACACGCGTATGTATATAGAATAAGTATAAATTTACGCTAACGGGGTATAGATATTATATTCACGTTGATATATTATGTGTTGTTGCTGTTGATGTTGTTAATCATAGAGTAGAGAAAAAAAATTGTAGTGCTTAGAATAAGGTAGTTAATATTGTTGTTAATGTAGGAACTACAGGGGAAAAAAAAGGACAAGAATTCTCCCTTGTTACTTTTGCGATAAGTACGTTCGCGCACGGATTGTTAATTGCAATACGAATTAATCTTCGGATGTCGCGCGCGTCGTGATGTTACCAATTTGTACCTGCAATCTTTATCTTAATCGCTTTGGCGTTCGCTAAGATTGTTCTAGACGTTGCTTTCCCGCTTTGAGTGAAGGACTTCCAATTTGAAGATTAGTTTCAGTGCCAGATTTAGAATTCTATCGTTGCTTCACGCCAAGGTGGTTGACTCTAGCGACAGTACCTCTCAAGGTCCTAGCTGTTTACTCTAAGATTTGCCAAATATTATAGAATACGCCGGCACACCGAAGATTCCCGTGACAAACGTGTTTATCGTTCTGGAGTAACCGTAAAAACAGACGTTTATTATGCATAAAGTATGTGTATTATACATAATGCGATTTCAAATGGCCTAAAAACGTAGTGATTTGGCTCAGCTATGTATATTTCCGTTTTTTTCTTCTTTTTTCAAAATTATTGCACTTTTCACTTGTTGAAATTCAAGTTGGAGCGTCTAAACGTCCGCCGCCATCATGTCGAAACTTGCAAGCATAAAATTTCTTACAGCAGATTTACCTCTAAGATATTTCACTATCTACCTTTATCTCGTATCTTTGCCTTTTGAGCTATGTAATAAGAATCTTTTAACAACGATTCTCCGTGTTTGTTCGGATTGTATTATTCTTCTTAATCTTGCATCGAAAGTAGAGAAGCTCTTTTGACACGGATATATCTACGAAGAAAACAGAAACGAAATATATACCAGTCTCCCTCAATGCTTGCGAGAATTTCGAAATATCTCGAAATATTCTTGTGTAAACGGCGGTCGATTAGGCTGTGCACCAATGTTGCGAAGATATTAAAATTTGTTACATATGCTGTTGCTACGCATGAGAGCCGCATTTTGAATTGTTTATCGATGTTCGTAGTGACTGTATCGCTAATTCTCAACCGACAATGAAATAGAGTAACTCGATGTACATAAGATGCAACGACGAGATTCTCGTGAATCTATAGAGCTTGCGTTATTGTCTGAGTTGAAGAATTTTATTCCGACGAATTTTGCCTTACGATACTGTACGTGTACGCTAGCGGCCGGTGGTATGTTTTGATTTATATATACAAAACGCGGATGTACTGTTAACTGCATTTAACACAGCGCGAATCTTATGTTCAACGATTCTGTACCCGCTTTGTGATCGAGAGCTCGATCATTGGAGTTGTAATGTAGCGTCGTAGAATGCTCGCTTAGGTGTATCTACGTGAGTGTGACTATTCGTAGTGACAAAAAATACGCCAAAAAAAGGAGAAAGTGCGAAGAGAGAAAGAGAGAGAGAGAGAACAAAGTCGTTGACGATTGTAACGTAGTAGCGATCGATAGTGCGAATGTATAAATGCCTGATGGTGTTGTACGTTTAGTAGAGTATGCATATACAGATGTATACGTTATCTACTTTACATATTGAGAGTAGTCGCATCGCGTACAAATAATTTTGTCTTCCCTCTTAGCTTAATTAAGGTAACTCGATCGACGGCATACCGTTTCGTTATTCTAAGCGTTACTGTTGCCGCTATCGACGACAGCTCTATCCGATTATCTCATCAATGTTTAATTGTCCCATTGTTATTATATTTCCGTGCGTTGCACAACGCGACGGCCTGGTTTATGTGTATTCTCAGTTGTATCTCTCATTTGTATTCTTTAATCGACGATTGGTTCCGTTTGCCATCGATCATACTTCTGTTCTGTAAATAGAGAGATTATAATAATTTGTTGTGTTCACACATATTTTCGTTTCGCATTTTATTTCCCTATTTTTCAATGTACGATTAGATAGTTAAATTTCAATCAGAATCAATACTGTGTATTCTCATGATACGTTTGACGCGAAATCTCCATTCCCACGTAATTGTCAATGTTAATTAAAATTATTAGGGTTTAGTACTGATAACTAAAATCAAATATTGCGTTAGATATAATTAGATAATACAATTAATGTTTGTTGATTGATTCCTAGCGCATATAAAATCTAAATTATTTTTTTAACTATTTTATCATGTCAATATTTTTTTTATGTTAAATTTAATCAAATTTTGTAATTTTTAGCCGCTGAGCGTGGCATGCCCTTCAATTAACATTTAGCTAAATTCAACAATAAACGTTTCGCAATGAAAGTATCTAGGCAGTGGCAGTCTTAAATGTGCAATTAATGTACACTATTCTATCGCTCTTACACGGTAAGCAAGAATTATAGTAAGCATAATTCTTGAACAGTATAGCGCATATTTTGGTTCGATCGATTGTATGAGACACGAAAAAATAGAGTGCGGAGGAAGACTGCTATCGAGTTAGGATATACTTCGGTTATGCATTTGTCACGTAGCGATTTTCTACGCGTGATCAATTGACCGAAGCAATTGATAAAAATCCATGTAGCGTAAATCGGGTTTTGGACAGAAATTTTATTTCTATATATATATACATACTTTGATTCCTCAGATTAAGAATTTATAATTCAATTCAATCTAGGATTTATAATTATCGCGGCGTAGTCTTTACGAATTCATTCTGAAAATTTTCGCAGGTGTTTCTTTTCCTATCAGGGATCTTTCTTAATTTTAGGTCCTCAAGTTTATAATACGTTAATTTTAGATTTTACAGATTTTGTGTTTTAGTAATTTTTTGTTTTAAAATATGCATTTTATAGATCTAACGCTTTCAAATCTCACATTTTTTTATTTTACAGATTTTGGAACCTGCAACTTTCTATTGTTTATATATTTCGTGAGATAGATACGATCTATCATTCTTCATTTACTTGTTATATATCCCTCTTTCTTTAAATTATATCAATGAAATTTTTTCTCAACGCAAAAGATCCACCTATACGGAATATACATATATATTCAATGTTTTTTCATTTTAGCTAAAAGGTCAGACCAAAGAAATGAATTATTAATGCGCTATGTCGAAATATTCACGGAAAAAAAGGACGCGAGAATGTCACAACACAATAGTATAAGACGTTCGTCCTGCTATTAGCATTAGTTCTCGATTAATAATCACGTCGGCAGTGTCTGACTATATATAATAATATATATATATGTATGTATATCTCGCGATGTGTCTCGATCTTGATCGCGACAGAAGGGAACGTAATGGAAAACGATTAAGACACAGAGATTAGTTTCATCCAAAATAATTTCTCCTCCGACTCACTTGTGCCTTGCCCTCGTTCATCCTTTAACTGTTCTGAATATCCAGGTACAATCCCTCTTTTCTAAATAATCGTCTTCGATGTTCGATGTCCTTTCTACGAATAAGACTACCAAATGATCGGTACACTAAGAAAACGTTATTTACTCTGTTTGCCGAAATGGTACTAGCTCGTAATCGATAAATGTACACTGAATAATCTTACGATTTAGTCCTTAAGACATCCAGAGTAATTGCAAAGCATTCGGATCGCAGACGCTGGCAAATCCTGCTCTTGAAAATACATTTTATAGTATCTGGCTGATAAAACTATGTAATATAAATGCATCTAAAATCTACAATTTTTACTGTCATTTAAAGCGAAACATACAATGTATTGATTTAATTTTGATAAAATTGACAAGGTTTAAGAGCAGATTGACATTCATCGGATCCGATGCTTTACGACCTTCGCAATTATTATAAAGGACGCTGCTCGATTAGAGAGTGCGTTCATTACATACTATTTACTAATAAAAATCAACATACAGCGGTAAGCTTGAGTGGCAGGTAATATCCTCGTTCGTAATACAGGAAATAAGCGGTTCTAATATGTTAAACGTTTCAATGAATAGAATGTATCCACTTGAAAGTTTTCGTGTGTGCCCATTATTAATTCCATTTAACAGTACGACATGAAACATTAAATATGTTGCATGCAATGAGCGTCCAAAATATATCTTCTGTTGCATTTATCTATAACATTATTTATTAATGTTTAATTTGAATATTGAAATCTCATCATTAATGCACCATATTGTGAATTGCAAATACATATATATAACTTACATTACAATTTTTCTGTGCCAATAATTCTATACAGAGATTATTTTTGACCGATTTTACGCAGCAATTTATGCATTATGCAGAAGAGTCAAGGAGAGGTCATTTTACATATAGGAAATAGTTTAGTTGCGTTGTGTAAATGAAAATATAAAAGAATTCCGGCTAGAGGATATTTCATGGCACATGGCACAGTGAACCGCTTCCATTTCAATGGTTTTCAAAGTGTTGCCGCTCGAAAAAAGTACGCCCAGTTTCGCCCTTGGATTCGATTTCCGATATTTTACTGTAAAACAAGTAACAGTTAGTAAAAGAAAATTCACAGTAACGCAATAACGATGCGCATGCGATTAATAACCGTGATGTTGCGTAACGGAATAAATATTATAAAATATTAATGCAAACCTGTTTGCATGCCGGTATATAGTTATGCAAAGGCGTCAGAGATGCCTTCACGCTTGAAGATAATTGCTGGTAGTTGCTAATTCTTCCTTAAACTAACAGTTATGGGAAAATGTAGATGTGATGTTTGATGAAGAATACGGAAGTATCTGTCTTCAAGCATCTTTTAACTTCATTTTTGACACCGTGTGCAGAATATCCTTTGGATCGCGAAGCTAGTCGTACTTCTCAAAAAGCGCACGATTGTCAAATACGATCGGTGTCAGCAATTTTAAGATTATTTGTAAACCTGGATGTATTTTTAGAGACAACAAAGTTAGATATATTGTTACCCGCTATGCGAATATCGGTACATTAATGCCCACTTATATCCGTACGTATAACTTATAAGTTATAATAACGATATTCTATAAATGGCTGTACTATTGTAAAATCAAAGATATAGCGTACAATAAAGTTTAGTGTGTTGTAGGAGACAGGCTGTCAAAAAAAGGCAAGGTGTTTGTTATTTTCCCATTTCTTCACGTTCCGTACGGATGTCTATCAGAAAAATAATACATTAGACTCGTGTATCGCAATTATATACGTATTTAAATAATTAAACAATTTGTCATTTTAAAAGTTAAGATTAAAGGTTAAAGGTTGTCACTTTTATAGGTTAAAATTACTGTACAATTAATGCAAGAGCATTCCGAACTAACGCGTCATAGATAGTGTTATTGCAGCCGGAGGGTGGCGCGCATGGTATTGAATTTATCAATATCGATATATTTTGATATTAAAATATTGGCAACATTGCTAATTAAAACCGTACACATCACTCTGTGACCACCATCGTGTTAACTGGAAATGTAAACTATGAAAACGTAGCTCCAAATCGTTTGGTGAGTAACTTTATCGGTTAAAAGTGTGTTACAAGCGCAAATTTTCGCACGAGTTTTTTTTTAGAGTGCCGATGAAAGTAACAGGTGATAGTCGCAATGTATTGTTTACCGCGGATGTTCGCGATTAACGGTGGTTTCGGCAACCACTACATTGAAACTAATTGCAATTCTAATGAGCATAGATTTGACGCTGCACTGACGCGAAAATAATCTCCACATTTATTCAAAAATATGGAAGGCGCAATTTTCATAAGAGAAGTAGCGAAAGAGGTTATTTATTATTATCCTATTTTTTTCACATCCTGTATGTGTGTATGTAGAAAAGCGATACATTATAACTGTATATATTCACGTTATCATAATTATGCATTTATTCATGAAAAATAATGGACAAATGATAATAGTTTTTAATCGCGAGCATCTGCGCCAGGTAATACGTTTCGCCATTCATCCAACAGTGCTTTCTATAACAATTCGTATTTACTATACATTTTTAAAGAATAGAATACGCGCGTAATTCATGTGGGGGAGGGGGGGAGGAGAGGGGGGTGTGTTCGTACTTTGCATTCCGAACCTATGTATATAGTAATATCATTGCGTTTAGAGGGTGGCGTGCGTAACGCATTTATCGATATTGATCTATTTTAATATTGGCAGCATTGCTAAGTAAAATTGCGCACATTAGTTTGCGACCGCCATTACGTCGTATCGCTTTGAAACGTAGACAATGAAACGCAACAAATTAGCTTAGTGATTAATTGTGTGTTTTAGCGTGTTTAAAAGTGAATAATAAGTGCGAATTTTTCAGTACTGCCGACTAAAATGACGGACGATTATCAAAATGTATCATTTACCGTGGATATTCGTGATTAACGACGATTTCGTCGTTCGCTTTGTTATGGGTTGACATCGATTATATTCTAGTAAGTACAAACTTGATATCATGTATCTATATGTAAAAATAATTGTTACATATATTCAAAATCATCGAGATGTGGCGCAATTCTCGTTAAACAGATTGTCGAAAGAAATAGTATTTGTTATTTTTTCTATTCTTTCACATTTTAAACGTATATTCATAGAAAGACGATACATTATAATTGTGTATGTATGCATTATTATAATTATGTTATTATAATTATCTATTTATAAAAAATAGTGGACAAACGTGATAATAATCATTAATCGCGAGCATCTGTGCTAAATAATATGTTTTGGCAATTCGCCACCAGTACTTTCTACAACAATTTGCACCCATTATACATTTTTAAAGCATAGAATACGCAATTAATCGGAGGTGCGTTCGTACCCTGCGTTGCGAACCGATACAACATAGTAACGTTATTGTGGTCGTAGGGTGGCGCGCGTGACATCAAATTTATTGATAGTGATCTATTTTAATATTGAAATATTGGTAACATTGCTAATTAAAATTGCGCGCATCATTCTGTAACCGCCATTACACCGTGCTGACTTGAAACGCAGGTAACAAATCGCTCAGCAATTAATCGCGTGTTTTAGCGTGTTAAAAGTGAATAACGTTGCGAATTTTTGTTCGAGTTTTTCGAGAGGGCTGATTAAAATGACAGGAAATTGTCGAAATATATCGTGGATGTTTTTGTTTAACAGCAATTTTGTCGCTTGCAACAGCATAGCCTGAAATCCCGAAGAATGATGATTAATTAGATGTAACATTTTAAATATTTAGCTCGGAATATAAAGCATATTTTTATTTATCTACATGTTTTTTCGTGAATGCAAAGGCTCGTTATTCACCTTACTCTGAATGCGTGTATTTTAATATTGGTTAACTGCAGAATGTGTAAAATAATAATAAAATTTGCGATGTAAATCTGCTGTTTTCGGAAATAAAGTATATTGATTGATTTTTATTTTGTTTGAAGATAGTACGCATAATTAATTGAGAATTTGTTTATAAGATTCATCAGTGGATTCACCGGAGCGTTTTCGAGAATTTTTCGATGGAATTGATGAAGAGCAGTCTAAAGCAAAATCTGCAGTGAACGGAGTAAAATTTCAATAATCTAGTTGGTGAGTACAATTATTTGTGTTCATTAATTAAATATGTACATAATTTTATGATAACAAACATATATATTTAATTTGTATTTATTAAATATTTATTAGAAAATATTTGAAAATATTTATCAAAGTATTTAATAAAACATTTATTGAATATTGAATATTAAAATTTTTAAGTAATTTTTTGCGCAGTTTATTGAATAGTTATATTTGAATCATAATAGAAATAATGAAATAATACATAATAATGAATAAAATGCATAAAATGTGTAATCATTTGTAATAACTAAAATATATGTATTAATTTTGCTATAGGTACAGTTGAGAGAGCGTATTTACACGAAGCAGGATACAAAGTTCGGTGAGTGAATTTTCATTATACTTATGTTCTTTTATTTTTTCGTCGTTTATTGTATATTTGTTGCAGACTGCTTTGACACAATTTTGTCTATAATTTGCAATTGAATATAATCGATTCGTACTTTTTAATCAATCATTCTTTTCTTTTGCTGAATATCATAAAATTGAAGTGTCTTTTAAATACAGCACGCTTCGTGAAATGTACATTCCTTTTTGTACAATAGTTATAAAGTATTAGTATATTATATTTTTTCTCATTTCGTCAAAGTCTATATAATTATAAAATAAATTATATAACAAAAGTCAAGCAGTTTTTAAGTATTGTTCAAATTAAATTCTAATTGAAGTTCAAATTAAAATTGCCGCACGAAATGTGTTTTATCTTGCATTTATATTTTGTATACTCTAATATGATAAATTTGCAACGTAAATTCATCATTTTTGAAATTGTATACTGGTTTGATTTTCATTCAGTAGTGTACATTACTAAAAAAAAACGTGAATTTTCCTAATATTTCATTTATTTGTATATGTATATATATTTATATGCATAATTGCATTTATTTATTTTACAAGATGGTTAATAATGGTCTATAACATTAAAATTTTAATGTTATTAGTATTTATTGGTTAGTAGTCAATGTTATATTATCATTAATATTATAATTATCTAAATAATTATTTAAAATATCTTAAATAAAGAAGAAACGTTATCTAAAATAAAATAAATACATTTGGCACTTTACATCACTTTAAGCGGCTGCTGGCAATTTTTGCACATATGCAATCATAAGATAATATCTCAATACGATGTTTTTGTACATATCTTGTTCGTTCTTGGTGCTTTCAAACGGAACTAGACCATTGTGGCTTATTATTTCATTGACCAAATGGTCAATAAATTCTTCTCTTATGTCATCAGGGAGCCGATGAATAAAAGGGTTAACGGCGTACGCATGATCTGTAAAAGTATAATTGTAAGGTTAGCTCTAAACGAAGAAATAACAAATCTTATTTAGTCATATTAATATAGTCTACTTATATAGTCATATTAATTTGACATTAATTTAATTTTTATTTTTTAATTTATTCCTTTTTCCGTGATAAATATATTTTTTTATTTATTGAAATTTTCAATTTTACCTTTAAGGCTCTGTTTTGAGTAGCGATAGCTCTTTTCGCGTTTGCTACAGTGTAAAATTTTGAAGCCTATATCTTGCAGCATTTTTCGCAAACTTATTTCTATAGAAGTCTTGTAGTTTGTAGAAATTTTCATTCTTTGGAAATATGGCACGTAACGGTGCGCATCCTTGAGCAAAAATTTAGTTATGTAAATTATATTTTTATATGTTTCTTGTCATATGTTAAATATATTATGATACTTTAATACCTGAAGGTATTGCTGGTAACGCGGATTTTGCTTACACCGCACGTATTCGTCGAATCCGCCGTGATGCCCTAGAAAGGCGATAAGAGCCTTTCCATCTGATTGTAGTAATTTGTAAACATTTTGGAGAGCAAACCTAAATTAATTAAAATTAAAAGCATTATAGTATAGAAAATTGTATGGGATCAATATATCTTTATAATTTTGATTAAATAATTAATTGATATAAGGCAAATATTTTAATATGATTTTCTCAATGATAAAATGGTAAAAATTATCAAATTTGCTTATCAAAAATGCTTTGCTTATACTTGGTAAAAGAAAATATTGAAATACCGTAAGTCATTACACCAATGGAGACAGTAAAAAGATAAAATGTTTTTGTATCGTTCGATTTGATCACTTGGTAATTCCGGTGCTTCGATATCCAGTACAATGTATGATAATTTTTCATCTGCGTTATGTTTTTGGGCATAGCTCACCATGGTTTCCGATATATCAGCACCTATCATAACATAATAATCGAGATATTGAAATATTTGATTCAAGCAGTTTTTCGAGACACCTATGTATTTACCTGTCGTATTAGCTGATGTCAGGGATTCAGAGGAAAAGTGGATCAAGCTCATTTTTGTTAATTGTTAGAAAATTAGTTCTGAAGTTAAAATTGTTTTAATTGCGTGCAACGTGTGCACTGTTTTTCATAGATACTATAGTTTCTTTGAATTTAAACTTAAACATTTGTATTCACATTTAAATCATTCAGTGAAAACTTTTGTTTTTTCTTATTTATACATGGATTTAAAAAAAGACTTGGTCTTCGACACTGAACTCCTCATAGATTATGAAGACATCAAAGACAAGTAATAAATTCACTGCTTTTGCTAACGAAAGAACTGTGCTGCGCGATATTTGCTTACTTACCTACTAATTGCACGTCATGTTCCAAAATAGGCAATAACAATTTTTTTGTAACGAAACCAGGACCACATCCGATATCGAGACAATTCCCTTGCATTTTTTTTATTTCATAACAAAATTCATCGATAACATCTTTTGCATCGCGACGTTGTAAATCACTTGCTTCGACGTAGTCCTCAACGAAATCCATGTTATCCGTTGATAATTATATCGTTATTGTTATTGTTATTGTACGCAGCTTAACTTATTATGTTTTGCTGCGAATCAAAAACGCTGAAAAGAAGTGCAAATGTAAACGAAGATATAATTTGTAAATCTATCATGGACAAACTCAATTTCATAATTATTTCGCGAAATAGATGACAAGAAAATATGAGTTAAAAAAAGCTATATATAATTAACTGGAATCTTTTCTTTCAATGTGTTCGCAAATTATTGATCGGTTAAGACGATGTGTAAATATGTGCTTCGAGAAAGCATATCTTCTTAGTACCTGAATGATAGTTTACAATATCAGCTTGGTTTCTCTACTGCTCTATTACAGACTTTCAACTTTGTTTTTGGTGGTTATTCAACGACACTCGTTTAAGAAATGACTCTTCGTCCGTCTTCGCGAACGAATTTTATTCTTCTGGTATCTCGTCCGTCCGCCTTTATATTGCCGTATCCCTACCAGTCTAGTTTATTCTCTGCTATGTCCTACCCTACCTCAATATACAAATTATTTCTCTTAGACCAACTGAAGAATAATATTTACTAATTTATATTTTTGGGCAGATAATCTTTTAAACATTTCACTCACTACAAAGATATGTTCGATTCTTAAAAGTTCTTTCAATTTTATGAACAATATTATTTTTATTAATATATATATATATATATATATTTTCATATTTATTATTATTAAAGTTATATATTATTATTAACGTTGGTAGATTTAATTATATCAAGAATATATTCCAGAAAATCATTTTCTACAGGAATAATTGTTTTTTTCTATTGTTTAATTTATATTTTTTGCGTTATCTGTGCTAATTAACAAATTAACAAAGTTGGAAGCGCGGTATGAATTTAAATTCAATTCAAAATGCAGGAGGGACTATAGGTATCGGGAAAATGTGCAAGACGAGTTTATCGTAACCTTCCTCGAGCAAAAAGGTTTACCGCTTATAATCCGTAATTCGATCGACTGCGAGAAATCTCCCTAGATTCTAGCTGAAGCATCGCAGCTCGGTCTTATCTTAAGGTCACATGTATTTGCCTTTCGGACATCGCCGTATTTACATATGCGTGGGCACACTCCATACACGGTCGTGTGTATAATATGTAAGGTGTTTTCCTAATCAAACACTCGTATTTCAAGTAGGGGGGGTTCTTCGTTTTTATCTCGATATGTGACTCACGTAGAATGTTAAATCGATCTGTTCTGTCAATAAGATTATATCATTTTCTTTAAAGAAGTAGTTGCGTCATCGACTGCAACAATTAATTTCGATAAAATTAATTATCTTTCTTGAACGTGTTAGGTTAGGTTAGGTGTTAGATAGATTTTTCGTTAGATGCATTTTCTTAGTTTTCCTTAACAATTAAATGTAATATAATTCGAATATTCACGTGATATTACATCATATTTCTTAGCTAAATACAGGAATATTTATACACAAATATTTATGAAATTCAATGAGTTGAGCTGCCTTTCTTCTTTGACACCTCTGACTCTCTTTTCTATTCGCTGTCTATTTCTGTACACTTCCTCTGCACGATGCAATGTAATATGTATTGGCGTTTCTTTCAAAGCAAATGACAAAAGATTATGCTTGCGTTTGCATTCGTTTGTTGTCGAAAACGTCGTACCAAAAGATGGAGAAAAAGACGTCACTAAATTTAACCAAAGTTCATTGCCACATGTGATTTTTACTCAATTAAATTACTTATCATTTTACTAATCGTGTAAACTTTTAATGGTCTGATGGCGCTCGTTTTTTTATAATATTGGGTTGTGTAATAAATAATTTTAGGCTTTTTGGATAAATGGAACTATTATGTTTTTATAACAATATAATTTTATTAAATAATGCATGCACCGTTTCGATCTATGATTTTTTCTCATTCTCAAAAAACTTACGAATAAACAATAAGACTATTTATTGACAAATTCAAAATTATTTATTGCAACCCAATAAAATAAAGGTACGATTTTTTTTTATTATGCTTCGTGTCAGCTATATAAAATATAGGAGAGAATTGTGAAAAAATAGGATGAAATACGTGAAGGGACGACACATTCAGTTATCGTCGCGATTTTATTAAATATGCAAAATGATTGTATTATTTTGCATATTTAATAAACCGTACCTGCGAATAGAAACTACGAGTGCAACGATAGCACTCTTTTTCTCTCGCGATATTATACGATGGCGGCACACGCGAGAGTTTTCCGGAAATGGGAAGACGCTGCAGATTGGGCAGGTGTGAGTCGCGCGCGCGTGTAGGTCGTGGAGTTCGTGGATTTACATAGCGCCGGTCTCCTCCGCTCGCGCTCGTACTAAAACCACAAGCATCCGATACTCGATCGAGCTTTTGCGAAAGGGAACGGAGTGAAGGGTAGGGCGGAAGTGAGGCTCTTCTCGGGGAGAAAGGTTGCGTGCGAGGACGCGGCCGGGCAAAAATCGCCCGGGTTAACGTTGGAAATTGCAGCCGTGCGGTCGTCGAATTTTTGCCAGGATTAATGCTTCGGCCTTAATTGCCACATACGCGACTACATCGTACTATACGCCCGTCTGTATTTTTACCTTTATTCATCACAATTGAAAGATTTAACGTATTGAATGTAGACGATGGAACAAGATTCTGGGGTGGAAAAGATGGCGATGACAATCACGGATATCGACGGATGAAACTTTGTCCCTTTGTCTCGCAATTATTCTTTAAGAATTATGAATAGAACAAACAGGTGTGAAAGGTCCTTCGGTATCTCAATCCGACATTGCTGCATGTGGTCCGAGAAAGTATACTTTCTTTAGTGCAGCTAATCCAATCCAAACTAATCTCTGCGCTTCCTTTTCTTTTCCACCTTCGTCTCTTTGCCTAAATCCTCCGGCCGGATCTGCGTGTATCGAGTGGGTGGGGGTGTGCGGTCGAGAGCGAGAAGGGCTTTGATAAATGACTGACGCGGAGAAAAAATCCGCGTCGATACGTCTTGCTCAAGGAGATGCGCCGCGCGCGGGAAAAAGAGAGGGCGGAAGGAGAGAGAAAAAGGGACGGAACGGAACGGGCGAGAAAAAGCCGCCGGTTCGTTCCCGCGGTCCACCGAGATGTAAGCTTATCCTATATCTCACGCGACCTGCGCGCATTCCCTTCGCGCGCTCGTTTATTAAAACCAGTCGAACAACGCGCTGCGTTCGTAAATCGATCCGCGCATAAATGTTGCCGCGCGAGTATGGCGCGGGAGATTTTACGCTTCCGAAAATTCATTAATCTCCCGTTGCGCGCGCGTTGTCGAGTTTAATCGCGGCAATTTAAGTTTCTCTGCGCGTACCGTGAATACAAACGACGCGCATATTTTCGTTCGCAGAGAGACGGCATGGTTTTCGGCAAATCCGACGAGATTTCGCGGATCTCGTTTTAATGATAACGTGTTTTGCGGCAAGCTTAATTAAAAACGTATTACTTTTGATTGCATTATATTGCGCATTTTGTGATGCGCACTTGGATACCTTTCTCAAACAAATAACGAACGGTCTGTCAGAGAAATTTTATAATGCTGTATGGATACTTTTGCAGCGGTCAATAGTCCTTTTTCGCAGATGCGTACTTTATCGGAAAACACTGAGTGAGATATATGGAGAGATTATGCGAGATGGCGTTTCAGAGTCGAACAGGCCGCTATTCTCCGCTCCGTCAATTATGCTAATTTCGATTGCCGCGAGATTAATGGAAGAAGGCGGCGTCTCCGCTCCGAACGTTCCGCGCGTTCTCTCTCTATCTTTCTCTCTCATTCTCATGAAGGGTCGGTCGGTGGGAGCGTGACGTTCTTTCCGCACTCGGCCGACCGTGCATAATGTACTCGACTTGCAATTATTGCAGATCCATCCTCGGTCGGTTTCAATCCCGCGCAGCGGCGTCCTCTCGTCCTCGAGAAAATACAGTCGAACGAGATACACGCTTTATACAACGCTTAATGCGATTTTAATGCAACATTTATTTTTATAGCAAGGGATTTTCTCTTTTCGAATAATTCATACTATCGCAGATATCTTTAAAAATTTAAAAAAAAAAAGAATACCGAAATGACATGCGTTTTCATGTAAATAAGGCGCAGAATTCTAATTATGCGATGCGAATATGGTCGGGTTTCCGGTCGTGAAAGGATTTTGTTAAACGTGCATGCGAAAGATATCGAGTGACGGAGACGACGGCTGGGATTCCTGGCGGAATGTATCGGAAACTGGAAGACTCGCATGGGTGTTTTCAAGGGGAGGGAGTAGAGAAGGGAAGCGCAGATACTCGGAAGAGCGGAGTGGCAGAGATGGGTAGAGAGAAGAGAAGAGAAGAGGCAGAGGCTTGCTGGCGACACAGGCACATCAATAATACATGTCGTCTGCCGCTTGCCCCCACCTGCTCCCTTTCGTTGTCTTCCATGATCTCCGAAGCTTATAACTGGCTCTGACGCAAGTAACCTTACCCTCTCGCTCTTTCTCTCTTCCGCTGTGTCTCTATTTCTCTCTTTCTCTCGCGATGACCGATTTTTTTACTGCGTTTCTAATTCTTAAGAATATATGGCTTTATTGTGTCAAACAAATTGATGACACTGCAGATAAGATTTACGTGAATTATTTTGTAGAGTTTTCAGCAGATGTATTCATTGAGAAACTGAAAGGGAATGTGTTTAGAACAAATATAACGACATAACAGAATGAAATTGGGTGTCCGAATATTCTCAGATATGAAAATTCGTACATTAATTTTGTCATAATTTGGTATTCCTCCGAAATCACTGTTCTTCAATATTATTATTCTTCAATGCGAAAAATTTAATCGAAGTTTATCTCAGATTTCGCCTAAGAACATTCCGGAAACGCGAAACGTTTTCGCAAGGTGAGCGCGATGACGGAGCGAAGGGGATTTATCTCCTCGCAGCTCCCCGCGGGTATCCCGACCCTGCCGTTTTCTTTCTCTCTTTCCATTTTTATTAAAATGCCAGCGCGGGAAAGAAAGAAAGAGAGAGGGTGAGAAAGAAAGCGATCCGGCTCGCGCAAAATATGAAAATCCATACAGTCGCGCGGAGAAAATATCCGTCATTTAAAATGGATGGATTTAGGTGGATGGATATAAAAGTGGAGGGGTGGAAGAAGAAACCGGTGGCAGCGCGCGCGAGGGTGGCACCTATTTCGGTCCGGGGGTGGCCCGAGGGTGAACGGGGGTGAAGGCGGGGGCAACTACTGAAAGTCGACGGTGGTGGCGGCGGCGGAGGTGGAGATGGTGGCGGCGGCGGCGGCGGCGGTGGTTGCCGGTGGTGTTGGAGATTTAAGGGAGACATTTTAAATGGATGGTTCCCTCGGAGAACCCGGGGCCTCCGGTATTATCCAATAGCGTAGCTCGTCTCTCGTACCCCGGCGTTTCTCCGCAAGAATTCGCGA